CTTATGTTCTCCCTGATAATCACATGAGCATCACTCACTATTAATCATCTTGTAAAAATGTATTTGGCCGAGTACATCTTACAGCACCACATAACTTAGTAATGTGACACAGGCCTAACTGATTTCAGTAACTTATAATCACCATATCTCATTTAAATCGTATTCTGCCCGCATACTTGCAACTAACTTGTAGCCCATCAGCCGGCAAGTATAAATATAAATAAATAGTCTAACGCAGATCAGAACATTGAGTCTAGAGCATGTCTCTTACGAATACACTCATGTTTAACGATTTTTCCTAGCTATCTGTCCAAAATTCATATAATCATCACTCACGTATTTAAATATTGTTTTGATGAACATTCATGTATATTAGTAGTATTACTAAATTCTATCACGGTCAAGTAAAAATGAGGTTGAGAAAATCTCCCCGTAACTAAATAAACCGTATCAAACTAACTGGAACACTAGTTGAAATTCTTCTCCACGGTATACTTTTGTTCCTTCAGTTAGCCTACTAATACAGATGCAATTGGAATTCAACTCTTATGGACAACTTACCGGCCTAATCGTTATTTGATTTCATAATTTAAACCAAAACTAATACCAATATTAACATTTCTACAATATTCATTATTTTAATATTTCTAAACACAAAATACTTACTACCTATACGTTAAGTTATTAACCAACGGCTATTAACACGCATCATCGTTTTATTATTATTATTGTAATCCCATTTTTTATAGTTCAAATAATCTTCAACCAAATTTTCCTTTTACGCGTGTTAATCATGAAAGCAGATATTTTAAGATTATTACATGTATTTCCCGACCAGATGCTGCCGTCTTTTTGATTTATCTTTCAGCTTATCAATACCCGGAGGATCCTTATTATCTTTGGTTACCTCCGGCGCGCGACGATCCCATCCAATTTGGTATCGAACCAACATCACGTTGATTCTGGTGGGAGAGTAGTGTAGTGGCATTGGACAATAGCCACACAATCCACAAAGCTGTGAACACGAGACTACTCGGAAAATAGATATTCACTATTTAACTCGGGGAAATACCTAACAATGGAGAAGGCGCGAACAATGAATTGAATGGATTGGAGTTGATCGGATGGCATGGCTCGACCATGCAGGCGTGGTCCTTCTGAATGTTACGTTATATCTTCTATTCATATTAAATATATTGTTCCTTCTCTAGCCTAACCTTGTTCTACATCATGTATTGGTAATTGATACGATACAGTGAGTTGGTGTGGTCGATGGTGTGACTTCCACGTAAGATCTTATAGATTAGGCAGTTATATCATGACAAATCTACAAATTTAGGATTAGGTCTATTATAAGAGCAGTACTAATATCATAGTAGACCATAATTCCACAATGTATCTAATCGAGTTACGCGATGAATTCAACTTCTGGAAGGTTTATACTGATATTTTTTATTCACAACGTAACTTTTGTGCTTAGTGAGTATTCGTGTTTAAGATGTCCACACGATGTTTATTTCCTACCAGATTACCAACACGTTCTGTGAAGTCAAACACTTGTGTAAAACACGATATTTATAACTTATAATTCTGCATCCCCTCTTTGTATCTGATAATTTTGTGCTGACAGTGCAGGGATTCTTCAGGTTTGAATGACTTTAGTTCCTTTTTTGAGGCAGATTCCTCTTTGGTTTTAACTATGGGTGACTCAAGAGGAAGGCGAGTAGACGCCTCGTAGCCCGCAGATCATGGGAAAACCATACGTCACCAACATGGTGTTCAGTAACCTGCTCACTGACCTTCATCAGATAACCTTGTTTCATTTTCTTACCTTTTATTTTCTTACAAGCTAGATTCTCCATAATGAGGGCACGTTCACTAAGTCATGCTCGATAATTTGTGAGAAGGTAAATGTTACTAAATAAGATAACAAGCTCGTCAGATATATGACATCTACGAAGTAGCCCTGAATATTGACTGGGCCGTGGCCGTCATTGATTGGAGGTCAAGTACTGAACGAGTCAGTAACTCTCTATTGGACTGGGGAAACAGAACCGAAATGTCATTGCCTGATAAACTGATCGAACCTATATTCCTATGGAGGTAGATTCCAAGAGAAAGCTGACGTAACAACATAGGCTGATTGGTTGAGAGTTGGCTGAAGACATCTGAGCGATATCAAAATACTATATTCCAAATATTCACTCACTTCCTCATATTGTGTAGATATTTTATTTGATTTGTATTGAGTGTTGGAAACGTTATGTGCAAAAAACGTCGCTCTCCAAGTGCTCAGAATATAGATCTATTCAACAAATAGTCTGGTTTCCTCAAAAGAAGAGTATCTACCGACACGAAAATCCCAGGGTTATTCACTCTTTATATATATGTAACTTGGTGACAACTATGGAGCATTATCCACTTGCAAACATTTACGGATACTACAAAATTCTAGACCATTCACAAGATTTCTGATGATTCTGAAGCTCCACTTTACAAGTTCCTGTGCATTTGCTTTCCAAACATTTGTGCTACCTGACACGTCGTTTTGGATAACCATATGGAAAGACAGAATCAGATCTGTATGGCCACTCCTACCTAGGAATGACATTTGATCGCTAACCCTGAGAAAACCAAACGGTTTTAACTGATATATTTGACTAAAAGATACGACTTTTAAAATGAATATCCCAGTTTACATAATAAATAGGATCGTTCATGTGAAGAACCATTTATTTACAGAACTTTTTACGATAATTTTCAACAGTATTGAGAAACTGAGAGTTCAAGCCCCTTATTTCGGTTATAAATGATAAGAATTGTCACCCGCAATTGAAACCACATAAAATTCCTGAGCTTCGAAAGTGCTAAATAAACAAGAATGCTTATTACGACTGGGTCCTAGTATTTAATAAGTAGCAATGTATGAGAGCTTTTCTAAACGACATGTTTTCCGTATAAACTAAACAGATTTAATTCAATTTATTGATGAATTCTCCAGGACTTTTCGCTCTGTTATGAATGGAATCATAAAAACTTTCCAGTAAAAGCACACTCAAGTTATACTTTAGCATGAAGTTTATGATATTAATCATTTAAAGATTCCCGTCATATTAAAAGACTAGTATTTGAACGAAGAATATTCTTTTCGATAAATTCTCTACAGGTTCTACAATTATATATCCAAAATAATAATCCGAAAAATGGTGATGGGTTTACCACTGGGCCCTATACTAGATGATATTTTTCTAGCCAAACTAAAAAATGGTCCACTAAAAATGATTATTCAAAACTTCACATTTTACTGTAGATAGGTTCATCCTCTGTAAAAATAATACGTCGCCGCAAGAGGTTCTTAGGCGATTTAATGAAGTGCATCCAGCCATTCAGTTTACATGTGAAGAAGAGAGTGAGGGCCGAATAGTCTTTTTGGACGTTCTCTTGACTAAGAGAAAGGATGGATCGTTAAGAAGGAACTTAAACAGAAGAAGTACATGCACTGGGCAGTATACGAATTTCCTGAGCTTTGTACCTCTACAGTACAAACGAAACTTGATCAAAAACCTTAGTTACCGTATCCGGAGTATATGTTCTGCTGATATAATCGAACAAGAGCTTAACACCTTGCATAATACTCTCAGGGGGAACGGCTACCCTAGAAAGTTTATAATTAAATATATGTTCACGAAGGCGAAAGTAGGCGAATTACAAACAGTGAAGAAGAAATTCTTGTTCATCCGTCCACAATTTAGTGAAATACTAACTCAGAGATTGCGTAGGACAATACAAAAGTCTTTTAACGCCGGAGAACTTCGATTAGTATTTTCTACGCGCCCAATGGTAATTTTTTGCCAAAACTGGTCAGACTGAAAGTACTTCAAACGGCTGAGGCAGTAGCCATCCGGATCAAGCAACCGGAGCTATGCGTACAGGAGGAATATATTCAACCACTCCTCCTCCCCTGGTCAACATCAAGGCCGATTAATCAGTCGTAATCTTAAGTATTGAATGACCTAATTTGACTATGACCTTTCGTAGTCAATTGTAATTGTCCCTGTTATCTTCGTTCATAAATCTTCGTATTATTATTATTCGTATAATTGGTTAAACATCATTAATCGTTCATTCACTTCGCATTCATCCCTCCGTATTACGTCTAACTTATTTGATCGAATTTTAATTGCACCATTATTTCTCTCGCACCTTATTTGACCCATATTTATTCTGATCATGGATCTTAAATCTAACTTAACATATACGTAGATTCAAGTTAACATTCTATATGATTCATATTAACACTATCAATTTTATTGTATTTTGTTTATCACAATCCTAAATTCACATGCTTTAAACGATGTACTTTGCCCTTAACCTGGCCATTTTTCGGATTATTAATTTGGATATATGGTTGTAGAATCTGAAGAGAACTTATCGAGAAGAATATTCTTCGTTCAAATACTAGTTTATCGTATTATAATTAATTAAAAAATATCAACATTAACTGGCGTGGCAAATAATTCGACTTGCTTGTTAATACCTGAGAGCGATAATTCAGTTCATAATCTAAAAATAAGCCAGCATGAATCTGTTTAACAATGGGATTATAACTATACTGTGTCTAGAAGGCTTGAAAGACAAGATTAAAGCTGATGTAGCAATCTCACAGATGGAGCACAAACCCAGAAATAGATCAAGATTATTTGTCATAAAGTATGAGCTAAAACTGTTCAAAATGCGTTAAAAACGTTAAAATAGCGAAATCGGAGCATTCAGCTGAAAAATGTCGATTGCATAATGTACACAATATCACGCTTCATGTGAGCAAAAACGACAGACATTACTTTCAACCATGCTACTGTACTTTTTCATAATTTATCTATATTTATATTTCGCCTGTTAAATATACTTAGTTTCTTACCTGGATGCATCAGTGATCTATTACGCCTATGAACTGCAGTCTGTTAAGCGAAAGCTTCTTTTATTCTGTTCTCTTCTATCTAAGCTACTCGGTCGCGCCAGATATATGCGTTGCGTTACTTGTGCTTTTTGCGTTTACTCAACAGAGGCCTTTAGCTGTTGAAGTTCAGCCATAGAGTAATATAATATTCCGTATGCATTTGCTTAAAATTAATTGGTTTGAGTTCAATAGCTAGTTACTTGGTTCAAACGATTTCGAGAAATTCTAGTAGTGCACAAAGTTGTCACAAAATTATGGGTTACTCAATTATAATTAGACATAAAAGTTTAAGTAAGCACTTGACGAGATGCTGCGGGTTAACGGGAAACTGTATGCATATAAAGTTTCTCTGCTTTCAAGTAGTATATTCATAACTATTGACAGGCTCCCACATTTTGGTGATTCGCTGGAAATTTCACTAGTTTTATCGCAAGTCGTTATGATCTCATGAGATCTTTTTTGTCTCCCAAAACTTGTTATTTTAAAAGCAAGATAGCTTAATGATTGTGATCGGGTCACCTCAAGTCTTCACTTAAGAAATAGAGTCTATTTGGTTCAGATAATCTACTGCCACTCGGAAATATCGGAATGTTGTGTTTTGGTGTGTTTCAAGTTCTTCAAAACTATTCCACCAGCTTACATTCTTTTAACTGGACGGGCTGCTTATATATTATACTCTAATTGTGGACAAAAAACACCCCAAATTCATATGCTCCTTGATATCTCGGTGATCGAGTTCCTCAATTATTGCCTAAGATGTTCGTGGATGCTTAACGGCTGTAAGTCATCACTCTCCAGTATTTTTCTCGCCCTGACTGACAGTAAACCTCAGATTACTTAGCATGGGTACGAGGATGTTTCTTAATGAGCTTGAGGACATCTAATAACATTTTTCAAATGTGGGTTCATTCTTGTAAGTTTTCTTGATCTTTATTGTGTACCATAGTACCCTCTTCGTCTTGTTCCCCCCATATATTCGCCTTCTAATGAGGCTAACAACAGCAGAGGACTTGTAAAGTTATCCGCTTATAAAATAATGACTGCTGACACCCAGACCATAACCTGGATAAATTTACTAAATATTTTTCAACCATACTTTATGTACACCCAACAAGAAGGTTATCTATTCGTATAAGACATTCACTCAAGAAACAGTACCACTGTCCTTTTAAAATAGTTTTTATCAAAATATTAAACTGGATTGCTTGTTATTCGGTAGCCTTAGTTTTGTTTTATCCCTTCTAGATTATTGTCCTGGCTAGGGAACGACGGTTGTTATATCTGTGCACCCTGCTCTTGTTTTCATATACTTAAGTGCCCCCAACCTGGACACAGGCATTTCAACTATTGGGAGTCGCATAATGTTAGAGGATGAGTTCGCTGAGCTGGACGTGAGTGTTCTGTCATAATTATGCTTTTTTTTAGCTAAATGAAAACTCTGAAAACTCTTTAAATGTACCGTTGAATTCTGAGTCTTATCTGCGGACAGGTTTCACACCTGAACGAAATGTCACACATGACATATCGCCCATTGACACTGGGAAAGAAACTGTAGTATGTTCAGCCTTATTTTGATGAAATTCAGAACACTGTTTCCGATGTTGCATTTGTAAAAGTCACAAGCCCTGCAAAAGTTGGTGAGGGTATTTCGTCATACATAGTATATCGTGTTAATACAAAGGTTTGTGATAATAATGACATTATTTTCAAGTTTAATGGCAAGGAATTTTCAGTCCTCAGACGGTTTTCTGATTTCCTTGGGTTGCATGAAAGGTTAGTCGCGAAGTATCTTTCTGAAGGAGTTATTGTTCCCCCTGTTCCTTCTAAAGATATGCTAGGTAACGGTTTAGTTTTGTTTTATGCTCTTCAGCTACAACTAAAGTTAAAATGTCAAAGGACGTTTCTGCGGAAAATGAATTTGTTGAACGTCGCCGAATAGCTTTAGAACGGTAGGAATTTTGTTAATAATTTCACAGATTCCTATCACGAGTACTCTCACATCCAGTTTTACATATTGATGAAGATGTCTGTGAGTTCCTTCGGCATGAAGGAGAGCTACCACGTGCAACAAACACCCAACTATTGTCCGGTGCTGCAGCGATAAAAGTGATGAAAAATTTGGGTGATGCGATTGGAAAGTTTGCTTACAAAGTTGATGATCCCGAAGAGGTAAGCACTGATAAAACTGTTTGAGGGGTTATTTTATATCCAATAGTATGATAAATTATATCGTTCATTAAATATTGATAATTTCTTTCCGTTTCTGGGAATCACTCGGGTAGAAAAAAGATCTATATAGAATATTTTGGAACTGGTAATACTAAATATTTCAAGGAATTTACTTTCCCTAGTGACGAGAAAATATAGTACAAGAGCTGATACTACCTGCTTGTACAAAATCTTTTGGATAAGCTAACACATGAACCTGCCCCTCTGCATCTAAAAGTAATTTGACCAGGTTTCAGAGCCACATATCAGTGGTTAGTATATCCGAAAGTAATAAATTTCGGGAATATTTTAATTCTGAACGATTACCTAGTCCATAATGCTTATCGTACATTTCCAACAAAATCAGCTATCTTATCCTCGAATTGTGCAAAATACCAGGGGAACTTCGGTAGATTGGGATGATTAAGTTCTGCGTTGTGTTAATGTTTCTGAGTTTACACATATAATGCGCCTGTTTTGGAAATCATTCATGTAACTCATTTACCAACTGTACAGTTTTGTGTATTTGACTTCGAGCTATACTGTCTGTATGAGGGATATCGATAGTAAATCGCTGCTCAAACTGCGATAAGCGGGATGGTCAGGAATTATGACCTGCTGTTTGAAAGTCAAGTGCCTTAAGTACTTGGTTACTGCTTCATGCAAATAATATACAGTCAATCTAGACAGATCGTTGCTGATTTTTCAATCACTTGCCATTAAATTTTGTCAGACTAGAACAGAAAACACTTAGTCTTCTATACTATGAAGTAATTCATATCAGATTATGCATTTCATGAAATCAAAACGATGTGCAAAATGGAGCGCTGTAATGCGCTGGTTCGGGTTGGTTTGCTTCACAATATATAAAAAGAAATAACGATAGGAAAAAGAGGCAATCAACATTGTACAAATAGATGAAAGATGATGTGTCCGAAAATTATGAAAGGGTAGAGAAAAAATGGGTCGGGATTTCTGTAACCGATTTCAAACCCTATCACTTAAGTTCTCTGGATACTGAATTTCATCCATGAATTAGTCGTTGTGCATGATAGTCCCTGTTTAGAGAAGGTTTTGTTAAAACCTGTTATAATTCTTCGAAAGGTTAGTTCAGTGGCTTCTTAAACAACTGTATTGCTTACAGTATGGACTTGCATTTAACCGGTTAGTTCTAGCCTTCCAGGTTAACAAAATAAAGCATCCAAAACAATTACGTCGCATTTGCCTCTTATTAGATTTTATCATGGTTCATACTATATGGTTTTCAGAATACTGCTGAGGAGGTAAGTTAGTCCCTAACGTTTATTGGCCGCCATCGTTTTAACACTACAATTCATTGAATGTTCATTTTAAAATACAATTTTGAAATATATATCATTTGCACTTCTTGATGAGATGCTTTGTGTTGTGATTTCCATTTCATTCTTTTTCTGATTCGTATTAGTAGTTCAGTATTTTTTTCACTAATAATCTTATTCAGACTTAAACAGATGTTCAGAAGCTTTAAATTTGCCTGATATTATTCGAAAGATGTAGTACAGTCTGTGGTTTTCATTTAGACTCAATAACTGGTATACGGTACATCGGCAATTTAATTCTATGTCAACCACTTTGGCGTTTGTTTATTTTCCTTTAAAAACGGTTTAGCTGATTGATGAGCCTCAAACAGGGCTGAGGCCACGATATTTGAGTTTTGGAACGATTAACTAGTAATTTTAAGTGATTTGTCATGATAATCTCTACAAGTCCTATAATTATTAACCTCATTAGTGGCAACATTTTTAGAACGTATTTGTCACTGCAGTAACTGGATCCACCATGGATACAAAGGTTGTAAGTGGAAAAAATGGAACTTAAGTTTTAAAAATTTTTCAAATAAAAATTGTAGAACGTTTGGCTTGTTTCATACATAAGTTGTAGATATTGTAAGACTGCGTTTGATTTCAGCTACGTTTATGCGACTGACTAAATGTAATATAAATACCGGGTTACTAGTCAACAAGCTAAAAAACCAAAGCCAGTAGAGGCATCCATTGTATAGTGGTAATCATATACCTTGTAAAAAATGTGCTGAGTTATTAGCAGCGTACGATTTTCACCTTTCAACGTGAAGTATATGGCTTACGATATTAAATGCTAGTTTGAGATCCGTAAGATAATAAGACATGGTAGAGCAGTATGTGAACTCTGCAGTTCGTTTATTTACACCTAATAATCACGTTTTTATTTGGGAACCTAAGTTTTTGAGTAGTTTCAACTTCAATAATACACACTGGCCTTAGTTTCTTAGTTATGACACTGGAAATAAAAGTCTCACGAGTCATATTCATTACCCGAATAAAAACTTTCTATTCATCACCAGTTTCGTTAGTGTTTTTGGTCGTATAATAAGTATATTTTGCGTGTTGTCAACTTTCTGTCGTTTCATTGTTTTTGGTATTATCAGTTTCAAACTAAAAAACATGATTAATCGATTGATGGTTTATTGTTACAGTGATAACTTGTAACCAAGAAAATAATATTTAGGTATCGTAAGGTGCACGATAGTACAATGGAGCTGATATTAACATATGTAGAGTTTCACTAGACCTTTATGTGGTTATTTCCAAAACATACACTGGGAACGAGGAAGGTTATGGCCAATCACTGAAGGATTTTAAAATTAGGTAAATTGCTTTTAAACGACTATAATGTTTAGCGGTTTCCATCCTTATATGAGTTTGGAATCGAAACTCTCGGTCTGTCAAAGTATGATTTAATTACTTATGAGGCCTGTAACTTAAGCACTAAAATTTAGTAGTGTTTTATGACTGAGATCAGATAAATAAGTCTTATATTCAATGCTTAATCATTTTTTCACCTATAGCTTGCCGACCATATCTAGTGTCTTGATTGTATTTACATATAAATCCATTGTGTTGCATGTATGTGCTTGAAAAATCAAATGCTTTACTGTTGTTTTGACAAATTTTTAATCAGTGTATGGTTATAAATTATTTCGCTGTGCAAATCAATTTCGATCTGTTTTCCTAATATGTGATTATATTTCACGGTCTCCCAGTATAGTCCTTATTTTTTTAATCGGTGCAATGTTAGTCGAATGATGTATTATTGATCAAAAAAATAATTGCTTCTTTCGTCTAAACTGTTTCTCAACTACATAGTTTCATAAGTTATGATAGTAAATTCATAAGAGTGAATTCTATAGATAAAATGTTTTTAACTTAAAAGGCCATAATACTATAGAACTGCCTTTTACTAACATCGTATATGTAAATGATTGGTCTTAGGGAAATAGTGAATGAATTAATTCTCAAAAAGTATAGATTTTGTATACGTGATTATCTGCGCCTGGTGAAACGAGTATGAATTATTCAAAAACATACACGTACTATACATTCGTATTTTCTAGGGTTAATGTTATATTCCGTGTTTAAAATAATGATTACTTTAAAAATCCCAATAAATAATGCCAGAGACCTTAGGTAAAACAGTTTAACATGTAGCTAGTGCACTAATGGTAGGTTTTAAATGTATTGTTTGGTCTTGTATACTCTGTATTTTTTACTGATATGACGAATGATTCAAAGCTACTTAAAATCTCTTGGGACCGAGAAAAGGACAGTGGCTGGGTAAATTTGAAGTGTTGATTCAATACGAAAAAAAGTTTGGGAGTTTAATTCGACTAATTAGGATGCCGGGTTTTTTCTAGCTACAAACTAAATCGAGACCAAAGATAAAATCTACTTTATGGATTGCGTGTATTTAAATTGTCCTGCTGTTTTTAACTGGAATCATTAAATCTGTCTAACTAATCTTGTTACGATGTTTCTGTATCGTTGTGAGCCACTGAGTACTGTAGTGTCTTAATAAAGAAGAGATGCGCTTGACAAGCACGTGTAAAGTTAGCTTGTTCTAATTTTAAAGGTGGCATAATCCACGGTTATTTTTGGTAACAAGTATTCGCTAAAGCATAAAACTGAGCCCTATAGTACTCTATTTAAGTGTTAAATCTACGGCATTAAAATTACGTAAGTTATTGATTCACATCGAAAATATTTTCTATAATAGGTTGTATAAGTAGAAGGATCCAGTAGATATTGTTAATTTCAGTTGCAGCTTCTCAATTCGTAGTTGTTTTCAAGTTGTGACTTACTATTACCCCTAAGTCGTTATGTTCCTGCACGCATGGAAGATATGTACCGTCGTTAGTATGCTGGTAACTGCTACCGTGTCCGATGTGCATGAGAACACTTTCTAGAACTAATTTCTAATCCCCAACATTGCGACCATCTAACTAATTCGTTTAGTTCGGTTTGGAAAACAAATGATCAGCCGTACTCCTTACTATCCTCCAGATTTTTACATCATCTGCAAACAACACTATCGACGACCTAAGCAATAGCGGTAATTAATTGACTTAGAGAAGAGAAAGTAGGGGACCTAAGATAGTACCTTGGGGTATACCACTTTTGACCAGCTTCCATTCAGATAGTGTTTCATTAACCCTCAACCTCTATCTTCGGCCACATAAAAAGTTTCTTATTCGTTCCTGTACAGCACCTGTTATTCCAAAGCTCGATAGCCTCTGCTTTAGACCTAGGTGAAAAACCTTGTCAAATGCTTTGTTAAAGTCTATGAATATCGTATCGACAAACAGGTCATTATCTAGGGTCGCTGTTCAATCCTCTCTCGCAATAAGTTGGTCAAGCATGAATGCTTGTCTCGAAACTCGTGTTGCTCGGGGTTAAGAGATTGTATGATTCTATGTGAAGAAGTTCTAGAGCTGTATCTTCTGGTTTCCGCCATTTAAAGTATTACAGCTAAAAATGGGATATTTCCAACATACAGTGATATAGTGGATCAACCAAACATCGACCAAATGGCAAGCGCATACTATTAGTCAACATTTGTTTTTTTTTCAAGAAAGAGACACTCGGTTGGTTGAACATGCAAATTAAATTTCTAAGAAGCAAAAATATATATGAGTGAATAAGCGTACAGATATCTCTCTCTCGGTTAGCTAATGAAAGCTTCCTTCTCACTCGAGTGACCGGTTGGGCTCGTGCACAAAAAGCTTGAATATTACCATACTGGACACCGCACAGCACAACGGAAGCACAGGCTTGAACTACCAACTATCAACATAGATGTAACACTACCTACATCATCTGCATTCCTCTTTTGTGATGTTTACAGTTCAGCCCAGTAATAAATGCTTCTTTTTTGCATTATATTATATGTCCATTTAATTATATTTCTCTTTACTCTTCTAGTTCTTCTATCAGAAAGCAGATGAATTAGATAGTTGGGAAAAGCAACTTAAACGTCTTCACTCCTCGCTTCTTAATTTAGTATCAGGAGACAATGGTAGGCATTTGATTTATTTGAGTTTTTCTTTTTATAATCCTAATGATTGTGATTTAATATCTATAAAACATGTAATATGCAAATGACATTACGTGTATACTGAATAGTCAGTGAATTTTCCGACTGTCGTATACTGATATGAGATTGTTTCAAACATGAGTCTTAGTTTATTGCTTTTGTTGGTTAGATGTGTTGTTCTTTTGCTTACGGATGGTTGTTGTTTGTTTTTTCCAAGGAATTAAACATTTTGATGTGACAGTTTGAATAATGTTGATCAATATCGGTAAGTTGATACAAAAGGTGGATTGAGAAAGGATATTAAATCCTCACAGTTTAATTTTAGCTACTTTTATGTATGGTAGTTCAGAGGTATTAACTGAACTACTACTGAGGTATGTACTACGATATGTTAGTTAGAAGTAGCACCTTTAGACTTGCGAGAAACCAGAGGAATTATTCAGTGATAACCGTCTGGTTCTCAGCTTCATTTGCTTAATTCCAGAAGTCATAAGCTCCATAGGGCATGATCTAGACTAAAGAATAGTAAATATGGAATGGACCCACGTATTTTAAACTTAGTACAGATAATGTAAACGGATAAATGGGAATATATGTTATTTACGTACAACTGGTCAGAAAGTGGTTACGTACCAGAATGTCTTAAATTATTATCCAAACAAAATAGACTTCTTGGATAGAGAGACAAATGTTAGCAAACTACTGTTTGTTGTGAAAAAAATTGAATGAAGACTCAATAAAACTCTTTATACATGTGGCATCTGTTAAATAGATGGCACTTCATAACAAGCTTCTTTTAGCATAAAGTTTAAAGATAGAGTTGCGCAGTTGAATGTGTTGACTACTTTATCTTTGGATATTGCCAACTAGCGGACTATAAAATTCCACTTGACATCTTACAGTCTACCATTTCAGACACCAACGTAATATTGTAGTGCCTGGATAAAATCTTAATAGTTTGTTGATGAGGATGCTTTGACCAACCTTTTTAACTAAGGACCTTGTTATTTGAAGCAACTTTCGTCATCCTGTCAGATTTATCGCTAAAACATTAATCAAATGTAGTGAATCCACTGAATGGGAAACATCAAGATTTGGCGTGGTGATTTAGAAAAGTATTGTTGATAAATCAATAAGTTTTTTCAGCCTTGGAGACTAACTTGGCTTTTCCATGTGTTAAACACACCAAACCATGGTCTTCTCTCACTTGTAATTACGACCACAGTAGAAGATCAAAACATATCGCCAATTTTAATTTACTGAAAGAGTGAACTGTAAAAGAATTTGGCATAGATTTTTACTGGCTCCACGTATTCAGTTTAGTGTTGTTGAGTTAAACCATTATTTGTTTTGTGCATTTAAATTTGCTGTTACCGGAATGATAAAATGGATAGATATATGGTAGTCAAACTCAAACCATATGTTATTTGGTCTCTATTGTCACCTGCGTTGAATTGCTATTGTTTGTAACTGTTATGTCCTGATAAGCATAATGAATGGTAACTTTTGGGATCCATTTATGGGCCAATACTATGCGTATACTTTTATCGTATAATTGTTAAATGACTAATCTATCCATATTCATATCCCTCTTATTTGAGCCTTATTTTGACCTCTGAACTATTATTATACTGTTTACTGTTCTTGAATTATGCCCTGTCCATTAATTACTACTTCCCACATTCACAGCCACATTTGGCCAAATCTTGCGTAAATGTTGTTTCCTATTTTATTGGTACGATGTGGTCTGTTTGATTGGTAAATAAACCCCGTATTTTTAAAATAAATGGCTCATATTTCAGAGGCTGAGATTGGTGTTCTGGACTTAACTGGCTGGGCTAGGCTGGAAGCAGGACCGGTAAGTACTCTAGACTGCTCGTACGTGTTTTACGCGTCATTGGTCCGGTCGATAAGTCACTACTGTCTAATTGACGGTATCATTACGTATACATTAACAGGGCACACAGGCCACAAGTTATAATAGTAACAAACAAACAAACATTGATATTAAAAAAATACGATACTTTTAGAAATGCAACTCAGTTCTCAAAGCACATATCTTTGCGTCATTGAGTCATAAATCCAAACACCTCTCGAACTACTGCAATCTGATTAACCACCAAGTATCAGTGTTCACCATATGTTAACTGCATCTCGAGGCGAAACACACGGAATTATTTCTCAGTTGCATCACCATAACTTTAAATTGCTCTCAGTTAAGAAACAGTTATTTCAACTTACTTCAGACCTAGCAAATGCCGAAGCTGGCTTGGCTCGTTCAGTTCTTCTCCTGGCTAATGTAGAAGAAAATACTGGTCTAGCTCAAGCACTTCATCATCTGGCAGAAACAGAAGGACATGTCGCTGATTTACACGCTTTACAAGCAGAAGCGCATACGTGCCATTTAGTGGAGTATTCTCGAGAATTACTAGGCATGGTTCAGGCTTGCAAGGTAAGTTTTCCTGATAGTTTTAAATAAATTGAGCGTTGGGTGGAAAGTTAATAACAAATTTTTTTGTGATGTCCCAATGAGTAAGAATTTGTATTTTTAACGTCTCCTGACTCAAAGTAAGTAACTTCTTCAGAGCAAATCGATTTGTCAGTATAGGGTTATGGGGATTGTTGAGTTTTGATTGAGATCGCGAATCGATCGATGTCAGGCCACAAATGAAAATCTGTAAGCACTAGACGGCTGTTTCGTCCTATTACTTATTTATTATTATGACGAAACGTCAAAAGTACAAATTTCTACTCATTGGGAGGTCACAAAAACTGTAATAGTTATTGTTTCTCTAAACTTACTTAGAAAGTAGATGTTGACTTAACGATTGATTTAAACGGTGATGCAGTCATGCTGTTTAATCGTAAACCATGTGTTAGCGGGACATAGACTGGATTAAAGCATGCTCTATGCACGATTGCTTTGGTGCACGCTGATTGGCTAATTCTTATCCGATCAGCACTAGTCGATAGTTGGAGAATACTCTAGAATCTTCTCGTGTAAAAACTATAAATATACTAACGTTTTCCCTATTGTGCTTCTTACTTCCATCTAACCTTGTTATTTGGAATATAATCTTTTTCCTGTTAAACCGTGTTTTGATTTGGGGACTTGTCGAGTGAATCGGTGCCCGAGAATACTAAGCAATAGGAATAGCTGGGTCATAATCGTAAGAAAGAGATTATAACACCATGTTTTTATGAAGTTCTTCCAAAACATTTATCAAAACTGTTGCCTTAAAATTTATCTTTCACGGTGTACTCAAAACGGACTGTTTCTGGAAAAGTTAGGGTTTTGTTAAACTATGCAGACAAAGTGTTTTTCACTCCCGCTTTTGTTTACAAAAGGTTTGCACTCTCTAGTTTATATGTATCAGACTGTGGTAGAGCTTTGCTACTATTAATACAACCAGGTATTTATTTTTCGTTTATTGCTTTAAATTATTTCGTTATTTATCAAGTCTAAGTTGTCTTCTAAGTCTTTGGTCAGAACATTTGAAGTGTAGTGTAGCACATAAACTAAAGTATACCCTAAAATTACCATCTTTTCACTCTTTTTGTGGGACTACTCATAGTCTACTACTGAATGTTTGAATTTCAAGCAGAATGTGTTGAGATAGATATTTAGAATTAAATTGGGCTGTAATATTTAAAGAATCATGGGATTAGTAAACGTTGCACTATTTTGCAATTACGACAAATTTAAGAATATGAGACCCCTTATTGATTAATCACATGGTAGCCATAAAACTTTAAAATGAAAAATAATCCTCTAATCAATATTCAAATAGATAGTTTTAATTTAACTGTTTGTCTTGTTATTTCTAAATGAAAAATCTTATTAATATTACTTCATTATTTTGAAAAAAATTTCATAATACCAAGTTAAATGTATATAATTTAGGATGTTTTAAGTGAACGTGTACGAATATATCGTACATGGAAAACCGCTGAAGCTAATCTTCGTTCAAAGCGTGAACAGAAAATTCGAATGGAAATGGCACCTAGAAATGATAATAAGAAGATGGCCACGATAACAATGGAGTTGGAAGATGTAAGATAATTTATTCCTTTTTTTATACTGATTATTTTCATTTAATACTAACAAAAACAAATATGCTCCCATCAGTTTGAATTTATTTTTGGATCAATTTGTCTCTGATCCAATGATTGATGATGAATTTTATTAATATGTTACCATAATAATTATTATTATGTTGGGGATGCCAGATCCCCAGCAATTTCTTGGCGAACGTCTTATTTTTGTAATTTTATTTCGGGAATTTTAATTTGTCGTCTTCGCACCAAAAGTATCCATTTTTATCTCCAGATTGTATTTCCAACTTGACAGGACTTTAAATTTGATTGGTTCGTCTCTTTTAATACGCTATTTTGCGACGTTTCCTAAGGACCTTTTTACGCTGTACATATACGCTTGAGTTGTGTGCTTGTCTGTTCCTGCTTCTGGATGCTTGCGGAATACACTTTTCCCCTGGCTGATACCGGTCTTCTCCCTATAGTTATCAGGGCTGGGACACATTGGAGTAGTTTAGCTTGTCTTGTCGTTGTGTTGCTAATCCTTCGTTCCGTTCACAGATTTCAGGTGGTCTCGTAATGTCTTCAAACATAGCAGTTTATTTTTTGTGTCAAATGTCATGTACATATGTATCATATCGGTTAACAAAACGACATGTTTTTATTTCTTATTATTCCCATTTATTAGATAATTTACGTCAATAACTGGGTTTTTTTGTGAACAGCCTTCACTTGATCGCAGTTCACATGAATTTAGACGACTGATTTCACGTCACACACGACTGACTATTTGGACGAGAATACAAGAGTAAGCGGGAAAGTATACTGGACTATCTAATAAAATACACAAACACACCCATATATATATATACCAGTCTATCTATAGGAAATTGACCCATTTTGACTCCAATGAAATGTACTTGATTTTTGTCACATCTGAATGCTATCGATTGACTTTTTCATTAGGCTGCTTCTGATTGGCACTCCACATTAGATGACTGTATTATTAATTAATTACTGCGTATATTAATAACTTATTTTATAGTATATTCAACTTATAGAACATAAACATCAAATATTACTCAAACAACATGTTTTCACTGATTTATCCAAAGAGGATTAAAATGATCTAAACCTACCTAATCATCATTAGGATTTGAGATTTTAATCAAACTTTTCGTTGTATTCCATTTGAAATAAGAATTCATTAAAAATTGTCGATAAGTACTGGTGGATACTCCGTTTTTGTTTTCCCCCTAGGTTACACTTGATCTTAAAGTTACTGTTACAAATTAGTCGCTATTTAAAAACTAATATTTAAAGCTATATGCTGGATGGGAATCATATTTCTGGAAATAGTAATTAAAAGTTAGCATGTGATACTCTATAGGATATTCAACATTTCACCATCAGCTTTATTGATCTATGTACTTTCACAGCAACTTATCAACACAACTGGTTAACTCGTACAATTTTACTAATCAAGTATTCGATCAGTCATACGTAACATAGAACCTGGCATATACATGCATCGATCTAAGTTGTCACACTGAATTAACAAAGTGAGGTAAGTAAATGTCAGAGCAGTTGAATTATTAAGTGTCAGTGGTAGTGGGAGGCATGAGAATCGACAGTGTGATTCTGGACGAAGGAACGACTTCATAAGATAAAAAATTAAGATAATTTTGATACTCAAGATCTAAAAGGAGACGAAGAGTGAATACACTAGCACTAGTGCTATCAACTCTAAGCCATATTATTCACCGTCTCCAGTACTCGTTAAAATAACCGCTCGGTGACCTCAAAAGGTAGTCTGCATCTACCTACAATGGCTTAGTCCTACAGTCAATGACTTCATGAACCGATGCCACGAGTATTAATTGTCCTCATTTCTCTGATGTTAATCAACATCCTTGGTGCATTTTTAGGATATAGTCTCTAAACTATTTGCTTTACATACAGTGCTCTTTCTTCACTTACTCTCCAAACAATTATCCCGCCTTGTGAATTTTCTTCGAGTATTTTTTATTGTTAGATGATTGAGAATATTTTGCACCATTTATTTATGCACGATTGTTTTTATTATATAAATCAAGGTTTTTGTTATGATTACTAGTTCTTATTTTTTGTATATTTTATTTTGTACATTACACATAGTTACATGGTTGTATTCTTTTTTCTTCATTTCTTTTAAAGCTTGAAAATCGTGTAGATCAAGCTCAGCATAAGTTTAATAATATATCTATAAATATTAAAAGAGAATTCCAAAATTTCGACTTGAATCGTTTTGCTTATTTCAAACAAGCCACTACAGAATATTTAGAATTGTTATTGCAAATTCAATTAAAAGTAAGTGAATATTGTTTCCTATGGTTAAAACACAGACACAAGTTACTATTTTCATAACCACTTTGTTTTCAATGTTAATGTTTCAGTTAATTTGTTATGATGGACATTATTTTCAAACTATAATTAGTTAACAGTTAATCAAATACTTATTACCATTTTCATTGAGAAAATTGAACTGATAGCAACTGAAAAACAATTAAAAGTTATTTTCATGGTTGTTCGACTAAGATAACTTATTCTATGATATAAACTATACCAGCAATAATCATGTTCTCGCTAGTGACTAATTGTAAAGGATAATTCACGGAGTTCCACTGAGAAGCTATGACTAGTGAAGGTCAAACATGTCGAGTGTGAGGCGAATTCCTATTACTGTCATCCAAACACGGTTGCGCAATATTGTGAAATAACCGAAGCTAGATATGTAAACTAGTGGTCAGCGGTCTAAAGGTTAGGTATTCGAACGGAATTCAGAACTTTCTTGGTTTTTCCCGTGATGCAGTCGCAGATACACACTGATGAGAAGTCCTATACTAGGACAAAACAACTGTCCAGTGCTTCCTTGTTTTTATTGTTTAATTAGCTAAAATCAGTCCGTAATGTAAACTATGAAAAGAAAACAGATTTTGATAACAATTATTTCTTGTCCACCTCCAATTAAACATTGAATAATTAAATATAACACTATCTTTAAAAATCACACATATATTTATATTTGAAATAAACTTAACTTCTTTTTCATCATCTTTTGTATACATTGGACAATAGGTGTTAGAGAACTGGGAGAAATATTTGTCTTATACAAACGGTATCAATTGATGTATGCGCATATAGGCTCTGTTAACAATTTTTTTATTTCTAGAAAAGAAATATCCTTGGTTTTGGAATTATTTTCCCTCTCTTTATTACACAATCAATATTCCACACTTATTTATCGTTCCATTGAAATTTTAAGTTAAACATATATGTTAATTTCTCATCCTTTGTGTTCAAGTAACACACACACACACACACCCAGATAATGCATGTGTATACACTTGTATACTGACTGTATTTCGGGTAATTAATTCTAAATAATCGCTTGGATATGGTGGTTGTGATAAGTCTTTATTTTTTTCTTCTGTTAATCATTTTGTAATTTATGTAACTCTTAGATTGATTTCATATCTCTGCCACTTTATGCTGATTTCATGCATATATTTAATAATAATATGGTGTTTTGATTTAAAAAGCAATGGAATTATTATATATTTCACCCTCATGGGATAACAAATATTAACAGACGTAGTAGGAGTACAGAGTATTAAACAATTTAATGACAATTTTTTAACAGGAGAGTTTTTGCAAACAAGTACTTTACTGTGTTTCCTTCTCCCGTTGGAACTTCCTGTTAATTATAAAATTCATAAAATCACCTTAGATGGGAACATTTTTTTCTTCACCATTGTTGATATCTGCGCAGCCTTATATGATAGGATTGTATACATGAGTTTCTTTTTCCTTTTGCCCTATATGTTCTGTCTATAAACAGACAACCAATGACACAGGATAAACATCAGCGTGGAAGGACATTATCCTTCATTCTGTTCCAACTAGCATGAACAGTCTAAATAATAAGGCGCATTCTGTGTTTAAGAAAATTTAAATAGTTCACTTGTTTGCAGACTAGTTTACCTTTCTAGTATACGTAACTTGAGACGTTCTGTATACCTTAGAAAACATAATGGGTGATTATGATCTAAATACATAATTTCTTTTCAATTTCTTCTCTGAAAAGTTATGTGTAGTGTTATGTTCTTTCGTTTAAAACATGACAGTATAATTAGTCTGCTTTATATTATGATTAAATCGCGACAAGGTCTTGTTGATAACAATATCCCTTTATATAACAGTTTCAACTAAAAGAACCCATCTCACATAGCTTGTACATGGTAGTTCTCATAATATGTGACATACACCAGTTCTTTCTCAGTTACCAGTTAGTTACAAAGTGTTTTGATAAAACCATCAGTAATTTGAACATGGACACACCACTATCTGTGTCGAACCCGAAGATTACATTTACAACCTCGATTACTACAGATTAATTATACGCCATGTCGTAACACTCTGATTATTGATAGATTTGTCTTTTTTTATTTTTTAGTTATTTAAGTAATTTGAACTGAAAGTTGACCAATAGTTCATGTTCTTGTGGATGGCGAGTTCTGGGTAGAAAATAAAACATATCACTATCCTTAATGCAAAAGGTGTATATAGTTCGATATATATATATATATATATATATATATAAGCATGTGCTTAGTAAATGATTTACATCGATTTTACCTGTGGAATGAATAGTCCTCTGTAAAACCTAGACAATATTTGATGAGTCCAACGAAGAGATAAGTGTCTGAACCTGAATTTTGCACAGAAGCGCCTATCTTGTACTTTTGGTCATCTTCCGTGGTAATCGATTCATATCCAGTAATCTAAGGATGCAATTTATGTTCGTTTCTCTATTTATGTTTCAGTGCATTATTATCAACTAATTTGCTAGGTATAGATCTGTGAACTTGGACTCGAACCATATCCTAAGAATGAAGGCTAGTAGTACTACCTGGTTTCCCAGACCGAATTAAGCGGAGCGGGGTTCAACCCTGCCACTTGGTGGTTGTAATTTGAAGACCTCAACCACTAATCAATCGCTCGATTGTACAACACATAAAGACATATACTGTTTAGTGAATCAGTAATTTAACCATTCTGATAATAATTTTTAGTAAAACTGACTAACTGCTTGTAACTTAACTGTTTATACTATTATAGAATATCAAAGACCCTTCCTGACTGTAGTCTGTTTATCTACAGTAATTCAAAGAGCTTTTATGTGTAATTATCATTAAGATGAATGATTGTACAACTTTTATGATTAGCATAAATGATTCATCGGGTTAGTCTGTCATACGGTTTAAATCGATTTGAATGTTAAGGTAAATAGTTGATTTGAAAGTTCCTGTTCAATATGTGTACGTACACAACATAAAACAATATAAAACCAGTTTGCGCCATAAGAATTAATATAAATACCTTTTAATGTAGATAAATCACTGCTTAAACAATTCGAAGCATGTTTAAAGTGTTCTAGTGGTGAAAGTTTAGAAAATGAAAGTTTTTCTAGGTACATTATGAATCATAACAGGTCAATTGCTGCTCGAACACCTCAGCGGTGATATCTAAAACTGTAAGGTTGTGTTACTCGGGCCCGAATCTCATGGGGAACATCAGCTCTCACGATCTCAGTTATTCCTTGTTGAGGAATGTCAACTAAGACGAAATCAAGGTTCAGTGTTTCTTGCCAATTACCAACAAAAATTCCACATAGGACTACAATACTTTTCACTCTTAGTATAATCACGAAATGTGTTTATATTAATACTCAAATATTCTAGATTAAAACATCAGTTGACATTAAGGTAACTATGCAGTGTGAAAAACCAAAGTTTATACTGATTTATGCCAACGTGAAGTTGCCATCAATTGCTAACCACTAAGCAATATTCAAAACATTTGTAATTCTATCGTTTGAAAAACATAAATCGTTTATAATGGTGATAATCGAACACGTTATCATTAAGTTGTGCATGTTTGTTACTTGTACTGTTACAAGATCTGAAGTTTTACACTTATCGTCACCTGGATTTCTATTCAAAAGTTATCAAGACAACAGTCAGTTGTCTAGGTACAGTTGGCTGTCAGATAGTTAAAAGTAAATGAATAATTCATACCACAAATTAAAAAATTAAGGCTGTGTATCTTCTTGTATATGGTCTTTGGTGTAAGGTTTTTACCACATATACTTATACTGCACTCACTCGTCAAGAGTGGTTCGTTAACTTGCTCAGACCAAGTTCAAGTATTATTAGTACCATAGATAAGCAATCTTACTTTTCAGTACTGTTTAAACCAGTAAACTCTACATTCCTTGCAAATCTTTAACAGTTGCATGAGTAAACCACTGAGAGAAGGAATAAATCAATCAAGTATTGTAATCTTACACAGCTTGTCCTTGAATCTGTACTAAATGAAGAGGCATTAGTGACTAAGGATTGTTTATATGAATATTAGTGTTGTCATTTATACATCTGTTCATGAAATCAAAAACTGATTAGGAATAAAATTACATTGAAAATTTGTCTGTATGGTTAAATAAGCACTTCAACATCAATGTTATTCACACAGATAGTACCAACATTCAATGTGGACAATTTTGAAGAAGGTTGGTGATAGATACTGGTTTGTATCTACCATCATATGTGAGGTCATCAAGAGCTTTTATTATTCTATTATTAGTGATTTGGAAAGCAAGTAGTAATTGCTTGCTGTAAAACTATTTTTCTTCACCCAAATAAGTTTTTCATAGATTAAGGTTTCAAAAAAACTCAAAGCCTTTCAGCTAATTTGAATTGCTTGAATAACATTTGAATTACGACGAAAAGAGTATACATTAACAACTGGCTTACGCCATCTCGGCATTAATCTTCACTAAAACACCATGATCTGATTTCCAAGATGTAAAACAGAAATCCGGAAACCGATAGGCTCAGAGCACTGTCCGAACGATTCTTCAACAGCTACATCAGTTCTCAGCATTTTCATATCATTTAACCATATAAAAGTTTAGTACATTATGTTTCGTTAAAATGTAGGTTTGATGAGATAAATTACTTTTGAGCTTGACTTCGAAATAGGGAAATGGTTAGCTTCTATTGTTTCAGTTCATCCAGTAAACCTCTAGTTAAATTCTGGTGATGTTGGCTTAGTCGTGTAGTTCCGTTTGTGATCTTTTTCTCAAAACGACCACATGTGGTTTTTATTTGAGATCATATAATGAGTGAGTGATGAACTGCCTGCATCAGATGTATCACCTATGATTGATGGCCACTCTACTCATCTCCTTCAGTTTACAATATTGGAAATTCTACTTACACAACAATTAATTCCCTGTATATCAGTGAGTTAAGTAGTTTCACTTGTAAAGGTTTGAACCTTTCCATTGTTGGTGTTTTGGGCTGCAATCGATCAGTCTCCTTTGGTGTATGTATATCTCATGTGGACTGCCTAGAGAGTGTCTTTGTCACACGCATCTTTAAGCTAAGCTTTCGTAGCAGCTAATAGATGACACGCCCGTTGTCCCAGTTGGTACTCGTCAGCTAGATATACATGCACTTCAGTGTTGATATTCCCACGAGGACCTGCTGCTTTCTGCATCACATGCCAACGTATCATCCTGTAGTGTCGGTTACTATGTTAAACCCATATAACTTATTCTAGCTTTTGGACAGGCAAGTTTATTCATCATTCTTCTTAAGTCACGTTTTGACCTTGTTAATTATTTACTTATCAATCATGACTGTTTTTATACGAGCGTATGTGTGTGCACTTCTTATCCTATTCATCACATGTCTGTAACTTATTTTTGTGTGACTATGAATATTGATTCGCGCTTAATTAAATTGAATTGGCTGACACGTCTTCACTGCGCGCCGTCTCGTTTCGCTCTCTCTTCTTCGCTCCCTTTCGTTACGTTTTTCTGATCGTCTTTTCCGATCAACGATTGTACAAAATATGCGCATTCGAAATCTATTCTCGTATTTGGCTTATTTAATTCCGTTATTCACTAACACAGATTAAGTCGATAATTACATACGAGGATAGGCGATATGTATATCTCAATAACAATTAAACATACAATCTAATTAGGGTCAGATTCAGGGCCATTAAAATCCACTGGGGTAATGATTTTTGTCAGCCACTGGTAGTGCACAAGGGACCAACTTGAATTTTATTACTAAGGATTTGGTTGTGAGAGGTGATTAGTTCAAATTCTGATGAGGATATAAACACTGCGGGCATATCCGGCAAACGAATAATAAATAGGACGAATTGTGCGTCCTAGAATTCTTTGGTAGACGCTCTCAAAAGTTTGCTTAAAAGTGAGTAATATGGCTTGGTAAATAGACAAAAAGTCCAATAAATTGAGTGAAAGGAAATATTTGAGTCTTTTATTTACGTATATCCTGTTAATTGGAAGAAAAACGATATTATTATTTCAATCGGCAAAACATATGCTAATGCAAAAGTTATTTTAAAAAGATGAATAAAAATAACCATTTTTTGAGTATAAAATTCAGTAAATAGTTGTCGGTTAAAAGAAAATAAATCTCCATAAATTTATTTTTGTTCATATTGTGCAATGTAAACACGAGTACCAGAGGCAAATGCGAATTGCACCATACGTTTGTTACTGTTATCATTTGTCTTTGGCTCAATAAAGGCCAATGAATAAATACCACTTGTCAATTCCGTTACTGATCCAACAACCTGAGTATTTAATTAATCAAATAACGTGAATGTACAATTTAGTAAACATTATTGATATAATTGGATTGACACTGCACGAAGAACAGACTTATAGTGACAACACAGAAATCGACAATAAATACAACTGATATAAAAAAGTTCCTAATGTCTCGTTGATCCGCGGTAATATAGTAAGATGACAGTCTGTGACTAAAGAATTATCACTTGTTGATAACATAATTTTACATATATCGTTAACTGATCTGAAATTGCAATGAAAAGCAATTGATTATTTCATACTGATTTGTCCAGCGGAAGAATAACTTACTCAAGTATTTTATTCAGACAAGATACCACCAGTAATCTAAATCTGGTATATAAAAATTTCTATCTCATGGATGAGAGGTCTAAAATGTTAGTTTCTAATTTATTTACCTCATAACAATTTTATATCCTACACACGTAAGAGAAAGCTATTAAATGATCTATAAACTCTTTTCGATGGTAAGGTCACAAGTTAAAATTCCCTTCAAAACGTTTCTCTTTCCTCATTGTTTAGACAGTCCAGGTTAGTAAGACAGAAACCCTAATTTCCATCTGTTATTAGAGTGGTAATTCTGAGCAAAAGAAACCATTGGAACTGGCCAATTAAAATGGATGTAGTATGAAATCGTCATTTCGAAATGTATTATAAATATCGAACTATTGAGTTGATTGTCTACAAGAAAGGGTTTTCAAAAGTGTTGGTAACAGAAAATTATTTGTCCTAGTTCGTTCCTTTTGAGTGCTCAATGAGCTTTTCATCTATTTTCAAAATAAATTAAAAAGGTCTAACTCAACCAACACTATATAAGATGAGCGGATCCGGTTCTTTAAGAGGATAACAGCCTGGTGATTGCACATACGACTTTCCAGTAGATATTGATCAGGACCCAATGAAAATACCGGGTATTTTGAAGATTGCACTCATAAACTTAAAATCGAATGAAAATTAAATAAATTTAGAACTCACATTCAACGTGAAACGACTGATAAGTTTTAGAATATTTGCATCTGACCCACCGAATGCTATGTAATACGGTCCAAGCCATTTTGCTACATAACCCTAAAAACATAATAGAAGGACAAATTATATATATATATATATATATATATATATATATATATATATATATATATATATATATATATATTGACCTAGTTGTCTGAATCAACTTTGAAATGAGTCATATATTGACAATTGCGGCACTGAGCATTCACCACATACTAATCGATTAGACGATTTATTTTACAGTTTACATAATGGATTGACTTTAGATAGACACAAAATTTAACTCTGATCATCTAGTTACTATTAACCTAAATCAATTAACAACTATATTATCTTATAAATAAGTTTATTAAATCTAGTATAAATAAAGCTTTCATTTATTCAATAACTGTATATGCAGTTATACTTAATGCAATATCCTATCTAGTTTTTTGATCTTATTACTTATATCTGATGGGTTGCTGTTATTTCTTTCTTTATTTGCTGTAAGTCCTGTTTAGCAATTCAGAATGTAGGCATTTTTACAACAACGTGGGACTCCTTAGCAGTGCGCATTGATGATACCGCCTCGCATGATCATTTTATTATTTAATTTATTCAAGTTTATTAAATCAAATTTTGGTTGTGATATTCACAAACAGATATATTTGTTTTGTCATATTGGATAATATATTCAGCTATTGACTGGCTGTTGTTTATTTTTGCATATCATAACAAACTGATTCATGTTGTAATGATTATCAAAAACACTACGATTTTGTTTTCTTATAAGTTGTAGCTTAAATGTGCTTTTTTTCAGTCATATGATGTCTTATTTATTATTTACAAGAAACAAAATACAGAATACCGATTTAATAATTAAGGCTGATTTTATCTGTCATGTTTTTAATGTTTAGGTAATGTGTTATATCCAGTAATGGCCACTTTTCGAGTGAATGATGTATAATACAGTAAAGTTTTGACTAGAGAATTTATTTCAGGTTCTAACTTCTAAAATATTGTCTTTATCATCCTAGATGTTTGTCAGTAATATTGTGAAATATTCATGAACGACCATCACAGATAACTGCAGACCTTTGAACTGTAATTTTTAATGAACATTACACTCTAAGATGCAGCACTCATCCATCAAATGAAAAAAAAGAACTGTGCTCGAAAGTGCCGGATATAACATACTGATTGAACACTAAAAACGTAACTTATGACAGCCATAACTAATGGTATCAACAGTTTTCACTTAGATTTTGTAAGTGAATTCTGATTAAAAATGACATAAAATAAGTAATTCTTATTCTGTGACTTGTAGCCACATCGAATAATGCTTCACTCAGGAAGTGTGCAATGAATGATCTTGTTTATAAATTCCGAAAGTGCAATAATAAGATGGAGTCTGTGTTAAAAGTATGTGATGTGTCAGCGTAACGCATTTTGTATAATCTGATCACAGACTTACGTATCAATGAATTTTACCTCAAACAAAGAAAGGTCACTTAAATCAGAAGTGACAACTGAAAGTATAAGAAAAAGGGCATAATATAAGGAGAATATCAAGTTGTCACATGATTGCTGGCGTTAAACATATATTAGCTATTACCGAGAGAAGTTCAAAGTAAGGATAAAGCGTTTTTGAATAGAAAATTAATTCTCACGTTTTCTAATAGATGAGGTTTGTACCAGTTGACCGGTCTCAATTATATTCCTTGCATTAGAAGAATGCCCATCTAGTCCTGAGGGTTATCTGAACTTGCTACGTCAACTAACTCTGAAACTATTACAGTGTATGTTCCATCATCCTGGATTATTTCCTGCCTTTTTCTAGTTTACATACAAAAGATTTCAATAAATAAGTGTCTAAATAAATTAGCTAAGATGTACTGTCCAAAATATCACGCATCTTTGAGACAAGCTCTATCTTCTAGTTTCACTTTCAAAATGATATTTTCTTTTACTATACACAAATAAACACTTGGTTTTTTAAAACGATGTATTCTATAATTTACAGAAAAGAAAATGAGGTGGTTTTATTTGACTAGAAGTCTGTTAGGTATTTAGACCTCATGTACTCAATTTACTTACTTTACTCGGTCCATCATAGGCATCTTGAGGTATTTCAGCTACTGGTTTACAGTAGTATAAAGCTCCAGTTTGTTTATTTATGATTTCCCTTCCAGTTGGTATAGACAATTCATCACCTTGATGTTCAGCTGAATTATAAAATTCAATCATAAGCTCTTCATTAAATTTCCAAACCTTATGTAGATAAGTGAAAACAATTTATATTTAGAACGAAAGTAAACAAACGAAATTGAATTCAATAATTTACTAAAGATATATAGTCTGTACAGAAGTTTCCTACGGATGCTGAATAGTATTGTTTCTTTTTACATTATCATCTCAATGTTGTTTGATTATACCATAAAGTTCAGTTAATTGTTGACTTATTTCTTTAACTTATATATATATCTTTCTTAACAGCCAGACTGTAATCTTGAAAGGCTTTGAATTACAATCAAAAATACTTTGTATATTTTTAATTTGAATGAAAATTTATCTGAATACACTTCGTTGTTATGTAAATCTGTACAATAATGTTTTCTTATGGTGGTAGACGTTTTAAAAACAGAATTGCTACAATTTGTTGATAAAATAATGTCTTATATCGCCTAAGCTATAAAATGTTCATAACAATTAGTGGTTTTATGAATTAAGTTCTTCAATCAATTCAGTAGTAGACGATGGTTGTTAAAACAGCTGAAATTTGTTATTATGGCTGGTGAACACTTATGGTTAAGAAACATTTATACAGCACTAATGAAGCTTTCATTCATACTGAAATATACAAAATGATCGTTCAATATTTCTATTTGGAGTTGTTTATGATACTGAATATTATTTACGGGAAAGAACTGTGAAAATGAAGCGATAATCAGGTATCACAGTCACTCATCTCTATGTGGAATAGTCTCAGATGGTATAATAAAGTACTGATTTGTACTGGGCTGCTTACTATGAAATCTGTTCTTAAAAATATCTAACAATAATAGGCTATTTAAATTTGTCTCCTGCTTGAATTTCATCTAAAACGGAAGTGTTACGAATATCAACATTTGGTGGTTAGTGTCTCTTGTAAGTAATCGATTTTATCTTTAAACTTCAGATAGAACAAGCGGTTTAACTGAGTTGAATAGTAAAAGAGCACAGAAGACAACGTAAACCAGCCAACTATTAAGACATCTCAATCAATTTTCTTTTATTGATTGAACATATTATAAGGATTCTACCTTTAAAATATTTTACAAAAACTCAAAAATGCTTCGTGATGAAATATAATAAAATATGAGGAATAACTAATTCATTTGTATTAGTTGTTTGAATCTTCCCACTGATATTTAGGACAGCAGCTGATAAATCTCTTTTGGCATATGTGCATCCGGTGCAGACTGGATCAATATGGCCGTTGGGACACAGGTGTCATATGCAGAGTCGGATTATAACTAGCATTAGGATCCAGAACACACTTACGTCCTGGTTAGGACTCGTCAACTGGATGCATCCAGGACAAAACGTTAGTCTTGGGTTCAACTACTAGCCACAATTAAACAGCTAAAAAGGAATACCTGCTCTAACAGGAATTTTTATCGAAGTGTTTTTACTTTCAAGAATAGTTGCTCTAGCTTTATGTTCTAAGATACGGTTTTACGAAGCCAATACACGGTGTAGGTCTAGATTGATTTCATTAAATGAATAATCATTATTTAAACGATAGTTGCCGATAGACAACTATGTTATTTTATGTGTTTTATACGTTGATAAATAATATATACTGTTTAAGTAAGAGTAGGATTTCGAAAGAAAAAAATATAAATAGTTGTAGGCATATTCTTTTTTATGACGTTAATCTAAATAATAGTAAACAGTAAATATTAAACAAAACATAAGTATCTGTTTATTAATTATAACGTTTTCTCTCAACTACTAATATTCAGGACAAAATTGGACAATCATTGTTAATATATATTCATAAATATTTATTACTTGCAAAATTGATTTATCACGGCGCCATGAACTTGATAATATATGATTTGATTCTGATTCGATTTCCAGTGCATCTGATCCACAAATATGAGGACCATAATATATCCTAAAGATTTAACGGAAGTAATAAAATAGGTGTTTTCTAATTGAGTTAATAAAATTAATTTTTCCTTTCTTGTTAATGATACACTGACAACTAACAAATATAGTACAATCAAACTTATTTTCAAGTGGTTTTATAGTGATGTACAAAATACGGTCACGTCTAGAATGAATATAAGTGATAATTTTATACAGAATTCTCATGGGAGATTAATCTAACGAAAGTGCTCATTGTGTGACGATGATAAGTAAAATATGGATTAAATCTCAATTGTGATAGTATTCAAAGTAGTAGTATCCTGTATTGAAGTATGATTAGTAATATGCTTTGCATTCATATGAAATAGTGCTATAATGATCAGTGGAAAAAATAGATTTGAAATATATTTAAATGTGTCTTATAACTTAGTTCCTAAAGCTCTTTTGGTTCGTGACATAGGGATCTCTTCTTTAAACCCATCCGGCCCGAATATGCTTACAAAATTTGCTGTTCATATTTTTCCAAGTGAAATATTCTGCCAACAAAGACTGTTTCAGATAACTTTATTATCAGTCAATATTATTGAAGCACAAGTTGGAACAGAATTGTACCAAAATAAGGAAATTACAATTATTTTAAATCCGTAAAGTTTTGAGTTCTTAAAAACTTTCAATATTAGATAAGCATCACGCTTTTATGAATGAAAAGGAATCAGAAATATAAATTCATCTGAACAGATAGTTCAACTGATAAATTCCAATAGTGTAATGAAAGATGTAGACTATTAATAAAATATAATTCATCAGATCAATATTTTTTGTACAAAATGGATACCCGTTAAACTTCACTACTAGTAGTAAAGCTTCGAAATTTTATGAGCTGCGACGTCTTTAGCATTAGCAAAGCGCTTACATAACCCTACCATTCCATAATCAGTCAAAGAATTTTATGTTGAAATGAAACAAAATTCAAAAAAGAGGTAAGGTCATCGAAATTTAAAAAAGGTTCTCTGAGTTGTCAAAAATAAACAAAGGGGATATAGAAGGTTACAGGACATTTCGTTATGTCTATGGATTTACATGTGTATGTGAAAATATACGCATAGGGAAGAGCAAATGTAATGTACATATAACTAAAATGTTACAAAAGTAGATAAACTTCATTTATTCAACAAGGGCTGATGATAAACACTCACTTTCTGCTACTTCTGGACATCTCTAGTATGATAAAACTCAAAGTAATTTATACTCATATTAAACCTAAGCTTATAATACTCAGAGCCTTTCCATAGAGGCCTTCTTATATCAACACTTATCATATTGTACATAATGACTAACCAGTCATTAGTATATAGGATTTCACTAAAGAAATAAACGTTTACTTTTTGAATGATATAAATTTTTCATTAGAATTTTAATTTAAAGCAATTAGTCCCTTTTATAAATTTTGATAGAGCAATGAGAGGACGGAGTTGATCTGAAAGTATATATGTGACCAGATTGTTCAAAATGTATAGCACTAAAACACCACATTTTTCAAATCAACTCCGTCTTTTCATTGCTCTATCAAGATATCTAATCCTTTGTTCATAAAGGGTCTTCATTAAATCTTTTCACAATTTAAACACTGGTTTATATATGATTTTGACGAAAGTATTTATGTATGTATATCCGAATGGATGAGTAGCAGCAGTATTCAGTATATATCTTTCATATATATATTCTTATCAATAACTTCTAACTGAAATAGATAGAAGTAATTTCATTTAATGTATAAAAACAATTTATTCTATGCCTTTACAAAACTAAACATGAAATAATCTAGAATATTCTAGAATCATTCATTTATCTTCGAATAGTAATAAACAATAACTTAAACAAAAAGATGATTGTTTAATATTAGTATACAAAGAAACCTTACAGATAATAATTATAAATAAACAAAAATAATTACCATAAAGAATGTAAATACCGATCATCCCATATTTGTATTGTATCATCCCAACCACCGGTAATAAATATATGCACATAATCTTCATAAACAGCACCACGTGGATGATATTTCACAGCACATATACGCATTACATGTCCATCCATTTTTTCCTTAGTAAAACTTAATTAAAATATATATTGTCATAATATAATAACTAATAAACGTTAAGAATACTTACTAGAATCTTTCCCACTAACATGCAGAACTAAAAGTTTTATCATATAAAAATTAACTTATTAAGATAGATAGTGAAAAGGAAATTGTATTTGTGAAAATTCAAGTGATCACAGTTAAAAATAAATTCAACGCTTTGCTCGACAATCTGACCCAACGTTTTTCATACTAACAAACAGGTTTCACAATACCACTATGTGCCTAATGATTTCACAATATGTTAAAATGTTGAATTTAGAACTTGTAAAAGTGAGAATATGAGTCTCTTGGTGTGAACTATGATGAAATTGTAGTAGATAAAGAAGTTCATTTAGGTATATGCAAGTCTGATGTAAAAAAAACCATTGATCATGTTTGGCTCTAGGCTATAATCTGAGGTAAAATTAGGTAGTTAAATCATAGCGGTTATGAGGGAGTTGCCCACGAAAGACAACGGATAATGGTTGTGTCATATTATAGACTGTTATAAGTTAGACTTGTACACCACTGAATCCCGGCCAGATGGTCTAGAGTTTAGGCGTTCGTGAGCGAGATCAAATGTCTTGAGTTCGATTCTCGCCTTCATGATCATGGATGTATATGTCACGGATGTCTATTGCTTCAAGGTTTTCAATGGTTGTCGGCTTGCGGTTTCAATAAAATTAGTTAATCTAATTTATAATCAAAGCATTCATAAAACGATGGTAAATAAATAAATGTATGCTTGTATTGTTATGTTAAACAAACTGACTGTACAAGGCGTATCCAATCGTAATCATTGGTTGAATCTAAATCATTGTGGTCCACAAAACGTGATATGAAAAATGATTAGTAAATAAAATTTAAATCTATGTATTAAATGATAGTTGCTATGGTCCAGCTAATTGTATTCATTCTTGTCGATTTGAATTTTTCATGTTTGCTCATAAATGTTGGGTTACACCCGTCAGTCTTTGTAAGAACCGAGAACATTTTGAAGGACTTTTGCCGTTTCCAAGTCGATTATATGTCCGGTTTCCACTAAATTCAATAATAACACCCATCTATTTGCAAGTTTTCTGATTTAGAAATCAGATATCAGTAAAGTTTGTATTCCTATACGCTCACAGTCAACTGTCGTGATGTCTCCCCTAAATATCCAAGACTACAGTCATTACATTCGATATCATAAACACAATTCGATGGTTCTACTTTTGGCGTTGTATCTTTGAATAACATGATCAGCATTATGGAGACGGTTTTATTTAAGGACAACCCACAGCACGTATTATAATCAGCCAGAGAACCATCTAGAAGGGAACAGGATTGAAAAGTTACTACGTATTTTTACTATTGGACATTTCAACAATCTATTTCACACCTCACTAATAATTGGACTCTGAACGTTGTAATGAAAGGGATACCTTTAAATCACTGAGTTCGAACACAATTATTCACTTTCTTTTCAATTTGTAAGATTAAGTGAGTACTATCCAATTGAGTTCAACTATATCAATAATAAGACAGATATTATTAACGAAAGTTGGTTTTGGTTATACGATAGACCATACTTTTTTTGTGTAACTAGATTAAAGTTTCTATAAAAATACACGCTACAAGAATAATACAGTAAACATTAAAAAAATAGTACGCCACAAGCATAAATGTAGGAGTGATCTTTTCTGTCACAACTAATTTATTTCAGGTTAGTACAATTTATTAATATTCAGAAGGGAATACGTTGATTACTATGATTTAATAGGAGAAAAATTTTGTTTATTCAGAAGACCAAATGTTAGCAGTTCCAAGATATAGATATTTTTAACGGTAGGATTCACAGATGTCTCCTTGATGAATTGATTTGGTCCGATACTCCCCAAAGGCTTTCATATTTAACCTGTTTCAGCTCCCATTTTTATTGAAGTTAGTTGAGTACATTTAGTAACTATCTTAGTTACTGTTGATTAATAACTCATTAAGCCGATTTATTTTCTTAACGCGTAATTAAAAATTATTTATGAATTCTTCACTTATTGATTTAATTATATTCAAGCAACTCTGAATTTATTCAAACAAACACAAACGCATTTGTCCCGTTTTTAGTGACTCCAGTTTCCGGTCAGATAATCAATCAAAACAGGATGCTACTCAGTCAGTTTGTTCAATAATATGTTTTTGAGTAAAGACACTCCTTATAGAATGACTGAACTTGCAAAAATTCACCTAAGCATTTGTGAATGAATGAGAACTTGCTTACTGGTTCTGTATAGCTTACTTTCAGTAATATAGTATGTGTGTGAACCAATTCAAGCAAGTTTGCGAATTTTCTCAGTTTAATTTAATATAACCCCCTAGTTATCCAGAGTGCACATAGCTAATCAATTAAATAAAATTGATCCTATTACATTTATAAAAACTATATGGCTTAACTGATCAGCTTTTATATATTTTTATATCCAAAAAATAAATTACACTGAGAATTTCTTTCAAATGAAACAGCTCATCAGTTGAGTTCGAGTAACTTTCTCTACATAGATGCAAATATTTTAAACAATTTTATCAATATTATCTTATCCTGGGTTCGGATCTCGCGGGGCGGGGTCGTGGTTTCACACTACTGAGGAGTCCAGTGCTTCCAGATTTTCCATGGTGGTCTAGCTTTAATCGACTCATAATCTCAGCTATTGAGATTATACATTCATTGTGACTGATCAAACTAGTGTTTAAATTATTTTAACTGAAATGATCGACTATTCATCGAAAAACAGAACTCTTTTTTCCACAATGGACAGAGTATAATACAGACAAACTTTTATCAATACTCTAGCTTTCACAGGTTTATTAACAAGTCTAAAGAAAACGAGATCACATAACCACAAATATCCTTGTGAAATTAAGTTAATTTACTGGTCTCTACACTTTTACTGATAATCTCGCTTTTTTAACACTGAAAACTTTACTAAACAAGTTATTGCTTAAATCATATACACATGTAATAAATAGTTTAAACTTAAAATATAAAGAACCAGTGTTAAAATAAACGAATGATTCTTAGTGTGTAGTGGATAAGTTCATCAAAGAATTTCGATCATAATAATTATGCTTAGATTAGGTAATTAGATGGTAGAATATTTACAATAATCTATTGTCTCCTAAACACTTTATCTTAACTTTATGATAGAGATGTTGGGTGACATAAATTATTTGATGCACAAGAATTGTGATTAAAATTTCCCTTCACTTTTTAAAACCGATGCTGGTATTTCTTTGTACTGATAAGTCAAAGTTATCAAAACTTAAAATACGCTGGGTTCATAGTTTTTGTACATAGTATGCTTCAAATTTACTAAGTTTACTACTATGTAAATAAATAGTAGTGTTAGTAGCAGTCATGAAAATTACTTCATTTTTATTGTAATTAGTAGATCTCAACAACTATGAGAAAATTACACAAAAGCGAACTCAACATAAAATATAACCATCTCATATAACCGTGAACTGAATCAACATAAAAAAATACCATTTATACCAAAAGAACACTAGTGTCAGTTTAGTGAACAACATTAAATATAACGTTTTGGAATGATGTAATCAATGTATGTACTAACTTTTATAGAAGGACAAATCACATGATTTCTTTCTTTAGTTAAATGAATTTTTTACAAGACTTAAGTAACTATCAAATATGTCAAGAAATAATTAAAGTGTAGTTTCCAAGATTATATACAAAAGAACCATTCAATAATGAATTTGATTTATATTGTGAAATTGTTCTAAACTTTAGCATGTGATTCACTATTTACAATTAAAGAAGACTTTTCTTTTTTAATATTTACTTGAAAACTGGAAACCGGAATTCGCCTTTATTTTGATCATCTACTTGTATGGAAAAATAAGACTATAAACAACACATTCTTTTTTTCATAAGTACAGTAGAAATATCAGCTGATGTTGATAACAGGTGAAACAAAAATAAACATACTTAGTGTATATTGGTTTGTAAGTGGTTGTCATATATACTGTAAGAATACTTTTAAAATTGATATATAACAACCATAGACCATTTTATAATTATACTATTTTTTATATGTATTTATCTAAGAAGTTATCAAAACTCAAAAACCGACTGATGAGATCATTCCCACGTCAGATATCTTCAGTCAATCGTAGACAAGGTAGAATCTGACACGAATAGGTATCACTTACGTTTTTATACCTTACAACAGCACATTAAGCGAGAAAATTATCACGGTGGGAGGTAAAAGTGAGGAAAGTTGAACAAAACGTTTGTTTATAAAATAACTAGTGAGATAAGAAAATAAACAGTATAGAATGACTCGGAATTTAAAAGTTAAAAGATCAATCATGAGTGTGATTGTACCGATGAGGTAAGCTTTGAATCATGCAATCCAACGTCTTCAACCATATATTACTGGTAGTTTGCGGATCCCGACCTGCAATTCTCCACCTGCATATATATTTCAAGCTGATAGTCAGTAACTTGGTTGGCCTGTTCAGTATCTTTAATTAGGAGCCTCAATATTTCTGCCAAAGTGCTCTTATGGCAGACAAGATGGTTATGAGAGTGGCTAGACATATTTGCCATGTGTTATTATCATCCGAAACGATGAAAGTTTATGGCTTTATCAGTTAACTTACTGTCTCTACCTTGAACCCTTCATCTAGAAAGCGATAGTACCTTTTCGAAGATACTTAAACTCACAGTTTTAAAAGAATATGTTGAACTAACAACATACACTTTATAAAGTACTTTAGCTTCGAAGCAAATTCAAGGATCGTGATACACAATCAGCATTAGTTATATGGAAAATAATATGAGCAAGGTGATCATTGATCAACAATTTATTTTCAGCTTATAATAAGTAGGAAAACCATTTGTCTGAGGAATTTTGTAGACCATGTCCCTCCAGCTAATTTTTCGCAGGATCTTAAATATTTACATGTATTTTCAAACGTTAAGTAATGAACAAGTCCCAAAAAACGTTACATTAGCCATTATATAGACCGTATAAATATGAGCAAAGATTTGCTCGTTTAATTAGGAAAAGTTAGGCACATTATTGCTCTAATTAGTTGTTCCGAAATTTTCTACTTCAATCAATTGGTTAATAAAGTGTCATCTGACTATAAAAGATGCATTACATACACGTATAAATAATCTGTTAATAAAATTTAAAAAAGCATGCATAATTAAAATATAATTATGACTGAAACTTTTGAATGAATTAGATGCCAAAATAATACTTCACATTTCATCTCTATTTGTCACTAACTTTTAAACAGTTTAAGTCTTAGTTTTAGAGCATCACCACTAGATTAATTGTAAATAATCCACATGTGAAATTCAGGAGTTATTGAGAAGTAAGGGATTTACCAAATGACATCATATAATCTTTCTTCAAAATAAGCTATATATCAAACAAACTACATTTTATGATTACTATGAATAAGTGATAAGATAATATGCATTTTAAATGTAATAACAGAAAGTCTGCTTATCTGAAAAGACATGTTTGTAGTTTTAAATGCTGGTTTTATTGACATAAATAATTTTATTAGCAAATACTAATATATACTGAGATTCCTATACTAAGTTCTTGGTTCTCCACCTCTATTTGTACAAATCAATATTTCTACAAAATAAAAACCATTGAATTTTATTGATGGAGGAAGTTTAAAGTTATCAACTATTTTATCAGAATTTCATTAGAAAAACGTAGAAAAGACAGTTGAAAATAATCTTAATAAAACACAATTATATGAGTGAAGAATATCCCTTTTGTTGGGGTGATCCAGAAACGTGCTTGCAAAAGACGAGCAATCATCAGGAGACACTAAGAAGCGTTTCGTCCAATCAGCGTTCAGTTGAAGTCTTAGCCAAAAATATCAAGGAAGCGAGACGTCACATACAGAGGCTCTGATTGGTTGTTTGCTACACTGCTACTATGTTTAGTAGCATTTCAGAATCTTCTAGCAACCCAAGGACATTTAAAATATTGTAAAAATCCTGTGTTTTCTGTATTAAAGTGAACCTTGGAGTAAACTACTTCTCGCATACTTTGCGTCTTCTCTCTCGTGTTCAGGTCGCTGTATAGTTCTAGCTTGGGGGTTACAGAATAGCTTAGGATGCGAATATAGCGTTCAATTCGCAAGACTTACCACTTTTTCATTAGTTGAGATCATGGGTCAATCGAAGCTAGGCCGTCATGGAAAACATGGAAGCACTGGACGGCCGTTTTATCCTATTATGGGCTCCAAAGCAGGGTGCATCCACGGCTCCACCTCGCGAGATTTGAACCCAGAACCTATCAGCCCACAAAACCCTTTCTAATATCCTTCTCAGTAATTTATCATCATGTTCTACAATTACACATCCAAATTAATAGTCCATTAAATTGGCCAGGCTTAAGGCAGAGTACATCATTTAAAATTGTAATATATCAATTAAGGATTGTTCGCCACATAAAATAAAGTGAAATCATTAATGCTGGATTGACTAATATGAGGTGTTAACTTGAATAAGTTTAAACGTCAAAAAACCAATGTTATATTGGGGCGTGGATTCAAGACCTCACCGAAATTCGGGGTCATGACATTAACTTAATGTATCGCGTATGATACCGTTAGACTCGTCAGTCATCACCCACAGGTTCATATCTTCGAATCCACACGATTTGCGCTACAACGCAACTGTCGTCCATATGATATCAAACTGAACGATTACATTAGGGAAGCTTATTTTGACTAGCTGGGCTCTAGCAGTAGAACATTACAATCTTAAGAGCATAAACTTTTTAAATTATTACAATATGAGAAATTTGTGTTTACCTTGAACTACACATTCGCAAGCGTCTACGAGATTTCATGTCATAAACTCTTAAATGACAATCAACCCCACCAGTTACAAATCGTTTACCATCATATGAACATGAACACGATAATATCTGATTCATCACGTTTTCTGCATTTGTTCTTACAGGAGCATCAGATGGGTTACTGATCCTTTCTTCCGTGATTGTTGCCAAGAGACGTGATGAATTCATTGCTCCTGTGTAATGCCATAAGCGTGCATGACCAGAAACATCTTTTTGAGACAGTATATGAGAAAAAACAGAATAGTCAGAGTAAAATCTCGTCCTAATATCTTAAAAACTTATCTTGTATAAACTACACATCATCTTTGTAATGCGTTGAATAAAACCCAAACAGAGTCCGTAGAGGGACTAAGCAACATACTGCGACCCTAAATGACTTATATTTCAGCAATTTGTATCGCTGATTGTCCGACTTATGTTTACAATAAAATAGTGACTAAAAGTCTAAGAGTTTATATTAGAAAGATTTAAATAACTGATTTACAAAGATGTTGTTATTGATACAACACAGGGGAATATGAGAGATTACCTGAACGCAAATAAGGTATTGTTGAGTGATTGTCGTCCATAGAAGCTCAACTAGTCGCAAAGTGATGTTGTTTAATAAGCGTTCGGACAAACTAATGAAATAAAACATTTAAATGAATACTAAACAAGGTCAGGCTGCTAAAAGTTAGGCATCTGGCATGTAGTTAGACTGACTGGGATAAGTTTACTCACCATCTAATTAGATTGTTTAGAACAAGCTGGCAAATAGAAGAAATTAATAAATCATTCCACAAATAAACTGACTAATAACCCGATATTTACAAAAATAATTTCGAAATATCTGCTTTGTTCCTAGAACAGACTTAAGATGGTACTGGAAAACGGTGTTTAACAGAATTGACTACGTCGTATCTTGAGCAAACATTAACATGGTCACTTGTACCCAATATAGCTCAATTTTTAATATTTCACATTCATAATAAGCTGGTATGGAAATCAACAGCATTTAAGGTGCTATTTGAAAAATATCCAACCGTGAATCAAAACATTATTTCATCTATCGGAACTGCAAAGTTATGAGTCTCATGAAATATCTGTTCCAGGCCTCACCCCGCCACTCTGGTTTATAAATGTGCATTCACGTTTTCTTTAAATACACGAGTGAGCGATTTCTTGCTAAATGCTAGGCGTTAGTAGTGTTTTCAACCAACTTATAATGTTATAGTCAGTGATACCACGTTTTCGCATTTTTCTTTGTAATATTTCAAGAAGTAACCAAACTTTTGGGTGATAAAAGGATAAGTTACAATAAATTTATAATCTTTGAAGATGTTACACATGGTGACAGCTGTAGATAGTCCTTCATACTTGTTGGTATTTAACCACAGGAATAATCCCGTCTAAACTTATTAGTTGAAATTAGCTGAAGTTGTGTAGAAAGTACTTGTTCCACCTAGTGTTTTTTCATAGAAGGTGAGATGACGCTAAGTTTATTATCTGTGATAATCACGGCTACATTAATCACAACGACATTTGTCTCCATAGACATATACACAAACCAACAAGTTTACTTTCTAGGCTACAAGTGTGCAGATATCATGCACTCAAAACCCATCCCAAACTTGATTTCAATCTATCTCATGCAAAAATAGACCTTTTTACCTAAAATTAATCACCTAAAATCTAAGAGTCTACTGTACCTTTCGACAATAAGATTAAGACTACGCGATTAGAAACTAAATGTAGAAGGATACGGCTAATAACTATATATATTTTGGTTGATCTGAAGGTAGCTATGGGAATAAAAATGCTTTTTAGATTATAAATGGCACTAAAACCCACCGCAAATATGAGATTTTTAGATATTTTCATGTTGTGACTTTGAAAGAGAATTGTTAATATAATGTGTTTGAATGCAAATATATCACATTCAGGGTATATTTACGTGATTCAGCCGTTCACTATCAATCTCTAGTTTGTCCTACAAGTGCTAACAAGGTTTTACCATAAAATTTTCTTTTAAAACGTACACTAGCTTTAAGAAATTAGAGAAAACGATTTACATGAACACTAATACAATAAATAAATTTATAAAGAGAATTTTAAGAACATACACACGGCTAAAATTAGGTGACAGTTATCCCGAATTTGACCATTGAGTTCTGGGACAGGCTGTAAATCTGAACAAGGGAGAGTTTCGCCATCTGCGTTCAAAGTATAGAAATTATTTGTCTGCTTCTCACTATCTTCAGTGGATAATAGCTAAAAGGCGTTAGCCAACCTAAGATCAACTGAAAGTATTCATACAACAATTGTGCCATTCGAAAGGCCAATAATCCAGTATTTATTGTCATTTGATGTTCTCACTACCATAGCATTTACATTGCCAAAATCTCTAAATTCTCTTCATGACCTAAATTATATGTAAACTTACAACACATTCTGGCTACTTAAATTTTCCGAAAACTTTGCTGCGTCTAAATTCTTATCAGAAGGTCTCAAAAATGTCATTAATCGATTGTCAGTTTTTGACATTATTCCTCATTTAAAAAGTTGTTGTTTATTTTATAGGCATAGTGTCATGCATTATAACAAACTTCATTATTGAATAAACCCTAGAAGATTTCAGTACTACCAAAGATTTTCTTTTTTCTCGGATTGGTAAGTATGAAAATGGCTGAAAGTGAGATTTTAGCTCACTGCTGTCTAATACTAGACTACATGTTATGGCATTTCAACTAAGGGGATAACAGAATATGAATTAATTTGTCATGTAGGACTACATTAGTTAACTGTATCCGTTTAGTTGATTCATAGAATCCTTGGCTCTATATTGTTCAAATCTTTCCTCATCTTGCGGGAGCTTGACGAAATACCATGTATTATTAAACGAATTGAATGGAGCTAAACATCTTCAGCAGTCTTTTCAGTACCACAAAGTCTGAACTAAATGTCAGGCAATTTTTTTTGAAGGAATTAACTTAAGGTAATAAGGCAGAGTTCACTGATTGAAATCATGAGTCAATGGAAGCTAGATCACCATGGAAAACCCGGAAGCACTGGACGGCCGTTTCGTCCTAGTATGGGACTCCTCTGCAGTGCGTATCCACGGTCCCGCACCCCGCGAGATTCGAACCCAGGACCTATCGGTCTCGCGCCAGGCGCTTAAACGACTAAAGCAGATTGTTTGATACTTAATTCTACAGTATATAAGTTGTCAATGTACCTTTTGATGCTAGCACGTGTTCTATACACCAGAAATATTTTTGTTCTTAGATGACATCATTGTTTTTGGATGAAAATGACGACGTGGAACTCACCCTTAGTTCCAGATATACAGTCTGAGTAATTTTCGCTAACGATAATGGAATGCGAGTGTATTCTTTAGGAGTCTCTTTAATGCAGACGGACGACAACAGATAGATACAGTGTAAAGAAATATTGCTACTCTACACAAGTTAAATAGTCATAGGCCATCTTACGTATAAAAATGTTCATTTTACAAATACCTGGTAGCCAGTTAGACAGTCAATTAGACTACAATTAAGTGTTGATAAGAACTGCAGCTAACACATCGATTGGATAAACTGGATTCGAGAAATATCAATTTTTAAGTATATTATAGTGACAAGGAGAAGCGTCTCACTATGATTTGTGATCTTGAAGCTATACTTGAGAGCGCATCATTAGGTAGCGGAAACGATGTCAATATAATTGTGGAATGTTTGCGGAACTATTTGTGATGATTAGAAGTATCTGAATAGTTATACGAACTAGGAATCCCGGAAATGACGCAAATAAGACCAGATAAAACTAGGTGAGCACAAACGAACGTGCTGTATTTGGAGTTCAAAGTCAGGCAGGCATCAAGTACAAAAGAATTGTTAGTTCATATAATCACCACAACTGCTACAACTTAAATTAGAATCTAAGTTTCAGTAACCAATTGTACGTATTCTCTTGAGGCTCATTGTATATCTGTCAGACTGTGCGTTGAATAAAGTATCTGTGTGATATAGAATATACTCATTAGTAGTAGAATTATTAAGTGAAATTGGAACGGACTCACCTGGGGCCTGTAATTTCAAATGATCAGCATGTAGGCTGTGTACTGACATCACTAATACATAAAAGCTGAACCACAGAATTTCCAAAAATATCTTCCTTCACGAAACAATGTTGGATCTTAATATCCCCAAGCTGTGCATAAGGTGGTTCCCTTTAGAATATATTTCTCACACTGACTTCGATTATTATTCTATGTGAGTATCTGGGGATACACACTGACATATAATTTGAGGCATTCCATCATGTGACTTTGACTTGCATAAAAATATGATACAAATCCCTTTGCTCTTCACGTTAAAAGACACAAAACCATTGTTCCAGTTATCAGATAATTGTACACTGATATGTGCAACTGACACACGTGATTCATATGCAAAACAATCAAATGAAAAATATGCATCTGCTTCATAATTATTAGGATAATCTTGGATATGATTTAAGTTTCCTGTCTATTCAAACTTCCTATCTGGGCAAACAAGGTCTCCGGCTGCTTCGAGAAAACATGCTACCCCCTCGGATTCACCACATCACTGACAAATAATTACTCTCTACACATAATGATTGTGAGAATATCCAACATCTGTTAAAAGAACATCAGAAACGTGACTAGAAGTTGACTCATTTGGAATATGTTTGTCAAATTCATTATGGATATCACTAATGATGAATCCGTGATGAGGACAAATAACCTCTAATGCGACACCATAAGGACTGTAATAAGATTTTAACTCATTTAATACTTGTTCAACACATGTAAGAAAGATTTCACTAGCAATAAATGAAACATTATGACAAAACACAAGAAGCATGTGCATTATGAGGACAATGATATTTGGTATGACATCATCAAGATTTCATTCTTCTGAAGTTTTTTCGTCAAATTTATCAAGAATGTCATTGGAGGGTAACCGATCATCAGAAAAATAAGCATCTATCAAAACTGCATCAGATTTTTCATCATGATTTAATTCATTCAGCATATTTTCCTCAGATTTATAAGAAATTTCATCAGAAATATGTGAGTCGTTAGGACAAACCAAATCTAGTACGATAATGTGAGAAATCCGAGAAGACGTTGATTGACTAGAAGCTTTTGTCTCACAATGATAACGAGTTTCATTTAACTCTGGACTACCATATGGCTCTACACTGTTTTCCGAAGTCGTGGATAAAGGTGGATGATAATTAGAAACACTCAACTTAATCGGATCGGAGTTACAAGATTCAATATTGCTTGCAGCGAAATCAACAGTAGTTTTAAAAATTTCCTGGGTATGTCCAATCATAGACGACGCACAATTTGGTATGACCAATCGACAGATACTTGCCAGGACGTTGAACGTACATAATTGCTTGACAGTGGTCGGTTCCGGATAATCCACGATGGCTGCCTTCTTGCTTTTCAGAGGGCAGATGACTCGAGCTTTTATAGCGTATTGGAGAAGAACTGCGGGGTTGGTTCTAACCTGATATTTCTGAGTGTTTACATTGATGCCATGATTTTCGAGTTGTCCGGAAATTAGGGTTCGGATGGTGTAAATGAAGTTCCTGTCCTGACATACGATTAAGAGATCATCTTCATAGAATAATATGAGTCATTATTTACACTAGACATGCCATTTTATGGGCAAGGTCGATTTTTTCACAAATGCTACAGGCCCTACTCTAATAAGTTACACAATTAGGTTGACATGCTAAAAAGCACATGGATAGTATAAACAGGGAACAAATTTTCGTAAATAAGAATAATAATGCTAGTAAGACTGATTTTTGGGGTTTATGTTGCGACAAGCAATTAGATGTCGACAATGAATGGAATCAAATTTCAGGGCAGTCAGTCGAAGACACCAACTTGCATATATTAGTTCGTGCTTCTCGACAGTGTCCCCGGTTAAATTCCAGAGGTGTAAGCGATGGCGTGGTGCAAAGTCGTATGTTCCACAAATGTTTTCTGTGGTATAGCACGATGTTGAAAAAGACGGAGTGGCTGTATACGCGTAGCCATGTGGAAGTATTTCGAGAGGGTGAGCTGACTCTCCCCACTCTTGGTCGTACCAGGGCATTCGGGGACACTGACATAACTTACGTAAGATATAGGCATTTCGGAAGAAAATAGTGTACAATGCAGAATACAGAACGTAGGAATAGCACCATATTACGTCTCAAAACTAAAAGCCTTCAAGTGACACTATGAAGGGTCTGAATACACAGAAAGTTAGTTTGTAGTAACCTGGAGACATCGTATAGGAAACTCGGCAGGCATAGTAACTTACAATCACGGATGGCCTATAAGCACCTGGCTATATCTAACACATACTGCCCTCGTGATGTTTACCAACAGTTATTAACACAACAGGCCAACTAACTCACCAAAGGGAGCCACGTTATATCAATAATCTAAGTGACGAGTGCGTGTTACTGACCAAGAGGCAGTTTCGTCTTTTAAGTGGTAGACGTTCATGTATGAGTGCTAACATATGATTCAGTCTAGCCCAATAAACTTCTTTTCAGTCTTAGTGTACCACTGAGTATATTGCATATAGGAAGTTTGTGTATGAGTATTAGTCCCAGGCACCGCACACCATAAGTTACTTCATTGGACGCTGTTTTCCAGATAAAATGTTGACAAGACGATTCTGTACATGTAATGGGAGATTTTACTAGTTTACATTATATGCTTGGATCCACTAAAGTTACCGGTTAATTTCTTAATAACATAGAACAAGACACTTTATTGCGAAGGTTTGGTCTCAATGGAGGATTAACAGCATAAAAATATCGTATAAACAACTTATAACAAATGTACAAATTATTGAGAACTTTAATTCTCAAATAGCAGTTTTCTTTAAAATTGTTCGGCGATACGATAAAATGGATAAACAAGAAAGTAAATAAACGGTCTACTGATAACAACCCTACAAATATACTGAAGCGGTCACTCTAAACTTTTCGAGAGCATTCATGATCTAATTGACGTCTGTTACAAAACCAAACGCGAACTGATTCTCTATCACAGCCAATCCTCGATGCCAATTCAGTGAAATCAGTACCTGGCAATGGACAATAGAATAAAACAGATGAAATCTCACTGCCGTCATAACAACAAATAAATGGAAATCATAATGATTAATATTCTTATAGAAGATCACATTCCTATTTACAAGTCAAAACAGGACAGAAAAATCCCCAACTATCATAGAAGACTTGCAGATTATAGTATGCTGTGGAACAGTATAACACTGAGATAATTTGAGTAAAACATTTTAGTAAGATGTCAGTGTATTAGAAAAGAAAGCGAAGTTAAATACCAAATCTAAGATGACAATTTGTTGAAGTATATAACTTTGGTTTGTTTAACTTCTTAAAAGTTCATTTACAAAATTTAGTTGAGTTGCACACTAAAGTAACATAGAAATCATTAAAAAATAACTAGAAACGAAATAATGAACAAACTAAATAATTCTGTATACATAAATTATTTTGTCAAAATCAAATCTCATCCGTTAGAAAACTTAATGTGAAGGAAAATGCACAAAGTTATTGATGTGAATTACTTTAGATTACTCTGTTCTTTTATGTATAAATTAAGATACACGGGAAATTCGACGAATAAAAATTGTTCGTCAGCTTTAAGGTCGACAGAATAAGCCAAAGTAGCTTATAAAAAAATTCCTAACGTTTACTACTATTTGAATTTAGTACTGATACTGTCTCGATAGACAATAAAAGCTTCACGAATACAAGTAACCTAACACAGAATATATATATATATATATATATATATATATAAATTTATATATATATATATGACGAGTATATACCTTTTGGTCGAGTATTTGTAGAATAAAATTCAGTTAATATTGATAAAGCTTTTGGGGAAAAATAAGTACGGCGTCGCCGACATCTTTTTTGTTGTGGATCTGGTAATTTACAATTGGATTCAGATATATCAGAAGTTAGCTCCGAAAGTGAGGAATGATCTGTAGGACAATCGGCAATACAATCATTATCTTTGACCTAGAATAGGAACAAAAAGAAAGTTTAAAAGCCTGTAATTAAATATTCAGTAAAATTAAGTGTAAAACATTTATTGACATTTTATTTAAACAATGAACCGATCTAAGTTACACTATTCGTGAAAACCTGCAAAAAGTGGATGGCTGTTTCGTCCTAGTATGGGAATCCCTGAAAGGGAGTATCCACAACCCCGTACCTAGGAATCGAATCCGTGAACTTAAGTGTCACGCGTGAACACAACCTATAAACTACTGAACCAGCATCCGACAGTGTTAATGTCCAACTTAAAATATCAGTTTCCACAAGAAATGTCGTCTATCAAACATTAAGAATTTGCTGTCAATTAAAATTATCGATTTTCTTTATGATTAGATCTATTCCAACAATTATCTGCAAATATATCCTTACTCTTACGGTTAGGAATTCAATTTTAAACTGAAATGTACAGGAAAGCTGCAAAAAAGAGAAAAAGTTTGTTACCACAAAGTATAGTTTAATGTTTAGTTATCGAGGATAACACGAGTAAATACGGTGCACTACATACAAAATCCAATAAAAAAAGTAATCGGAAATCATATTCATTAATCTACATAGTACACTAACATATCCTAAGTCGATACTTATATAAAAAAATTCGGATGAACCCAAGTAACTGTTCTATAACATCCCTACTTACCTTAACAAAACAACATGATATTCAGGTGTTCACTTCTCCTAAATAAAATCTAAACGTTAATTAATAATAATTGTAGAAATTTTAAAACCATACTTAGTAAAATAATACACAAACGTATCACAGAAGTTTTATACTTTCACAAAAATGAATTACTGACAATTAATTTGGCTCCAGTAAAAACAAAAACTGACTAAAACGTCAATACTTAGAAAGAGAGGATATTTATATTAAATCTAAGTTTTAGGATAGGATATCACAATCTCTCTAGCCAAGTTAGATGACTTAAATCAGTGTTTAAACAAAATTTTAGTTTAAACTTTTAAACAATTTAACTTAGTAATCAAGTGTGGGTTTATACACTTAGCTTGGAATCAAACAATTCACGTAAGGATCAGTGATACTACTGTGGTGAACGAGAACACAAGTGGGGACAATCGAATGTATTTGAACACAAAATTACAGAATCTCTTAGCAACATCCGAGAACCATACAGTAAATAATATCAGTCAATCTTCTCAGACTTCATTGTTCCCCCGTTTCCATATCAATTATTCTCTGTTCTCGTTCTCTTTTCTCCGATCTTCTTTACCTTCTGCCGCCAGTTGTTTCACTTTCAACTGATGATACATGCCACTTATATCTATCGATATCAGTAGCACACACACCACACTGCCGGTAATGTAGTAGATGAATCCAGGTTTGAGCTTGAATTCGACGATTGCAAGTTGAGTTCTAGAATCACCGACTTTTCTATCCAGTACTTTATTCGGTGTAGATAAGTATTCGGCAGCCAGAGTTTAGTTGAAAATTAAGCACATTATTCACTAACTCTCAAAAGAAATAAATGACAGAGTTTCCTGTCTGCATCGGCCTATGATCTCTCAGAATCCAAGCTCAAACAGTTACTATCAAAAAGCTGCCATTGATTAATTTGAATTTCTGTTTGTGTCTATTCTTTTTATACGATTTACGCTAATGTGTTATAATTAATTTACTTGTGACTATGCTGTTATGATAAAATATTTGAAGTCAACTCAATTTGTGCAATTTTTTGCAAGGTTAATGTCTAAGTTAACCCTGAGGTATACTATGTACACAACCAGATGTATTTAATTTAATTTTAAATAGACTGAACTATCGCGTTGTTGATATTTTTACTGAAATTCGATCGGTCTTGGTTGACATATATGTATGCTATGCGGATTGTCTGATACAATTATTATGACACAAGTTAGTGTAGAATAGAAGGAATGTCCTTAGCAATGGGATCCGAAACGTGAGTTACTATCCGGATTCAGTAGCTAAGTGGATAGCATAATAGCGTCTTAAGCGAAGGGTACTAGGTTTGAGTTCCGAAGTTAACATAAACTCTGGGATGCAGGTACATCCAGCTGACGAGTACCGAATAGGAGGAAATGCGCATCCAGGATCCCACTGCTAGCCATATTCCTTTTATTCTATACAGATATATTTAGATAAGTATTTTTTTAGTCTCCCTAGCTGTCATTGAATTATGTTATGAGGCATTTTATGCATCAATGAAACTAAGCACGAGCCTTTTCAAACAGATAAACTAAGTATCCATAATATAATACACGCACTTGCCGAAAGTGGGCTTAATGGTAGTTTAATAGCTTGATGTAGGACGAGGTAGTTTCATATCAAACTAGCTATTACGAATTTATCCTATCGCAAGAAATCATGGAGTTTGTGTGTATTCCTGTCAACTGGTGACTTACTTTGTTTTAAAACTCTAGCTGGCGATATCCTGTAACAAGATATCACACGTCCATATCATTACCAAACGTCTGCTCAAATTCAACAAACACTAAAACTTTAGTCTGTAGAATTAAATTTTCCTAAAGTGACTGAATAAGTTACAAATACAACAATATACTCTTAAATGGGGTAAAATTAATTGGCTACATTCAAATATTACGGTAGTGGTTAAGAGGTATGGACTAAAATAGTGGAGTTCGACCGGGTCAGTTGTGAGATAGTAACTCACCGATGACAATGGTGGATGTGCCGCTCAATTTCATGGATTAGTTGGAGTTAGGAATTAACACTGTTGGATTCTGGCTTAGTGGTCTAGTGGTTAAGGGCACGCGTGAGACCAATAGGTCCTGGGTTCGAATCTCGCGAGGCGGGGTCGTGGATGCGCACTGCTGAGGAGTCCCATAGTAGGACGAAACGGCCGTCTAGGGCTTCCAGGTTTTCCATGGTGGTCTAGCTTCAAATGACTCATGATCTCAACTATTAAAATAGTTGAGTTATTTCAAATCCTATGATGTGTAAAGTTATGTATTTTATCAAGACGATCTTAGAAAATAAATATACTGGGAAAATGAACGTGTATTCTCAAAGTAAAGTATCCATTAATAGATAAACAAGAACCAATTATACTTACTGACCATGTTAGCAAGTAGTCTAGATGTTATAATTTGTGAAATTTCGTTGTCATTAGTTTTACAAATTAAACTAGTTCTCTTATGTTATCTGTACACTGACTGGATATGCACTAAGGTCTTTTAGAATAAGCATTTTGGGTGGTTGAAACTTTTTCACTACCTAGAAATGAAAAGGATTATTTGTAAGAAAAATTAAAAAACTAAATGACAAATGTCCTAGTCTCTCATTATTTCACATACAAGATGAAAGCACTTCTACTAAAGTATGTTCGCATACATTTTCATGCGCACATCAAAACAATTGTAGGAGGAATAACAGTTAGCTATAGCTTTAAGCAAAGTCAATGAATTAACTGCTATCTCTCTATCTACCTCATGATAGTTTGACTTTACTTCCACAAGATCAGTGATATGTAGTTACTCCGATTTAAATAAGAATAGTATTAACCCTGAGATTACAATAAGCTACAAGACGAGCAAAGCTAATGTTTAGGAATAATTTTTAGATTAATTTGTGTTCTGTGTAACAAGAAAGACTTTCTATACACTTTTTGTAAGTTTTTTCGCACACAGGGAAAGATGCAAATGAACACACAACAGTTAAAAGATATCACAATGGTAAATAAATAAAAAAGAGAATTACTTGTTTTTTTACGAGAGCTAAAACAGATGAAGTTGAAGAAGAAGAGGATGAAGGATTATAATCGGTACGACCTAAACGAGCCAATGTAGTTAAACGGGAGTTGCCTACAGCACGTACAGGAATCGAATGATGAAAGACGGACAATTTTTCAATAGTGATTTGACCACATTGATTTTGTTCAGCATGTGAAATCCAACGTTTCAGGTAGGGCAAAAGCCGATAAGCAGATCTAACAGTGACATTTAACTTCTCAAACCTGATGAAAAAATTCATCAGAAAAAATTATTAAAACATAGATCCTCATAAAAGTACGTTTGATTTTATTTAATTCTGAATGTACTTGAAGTTCATTATTTTAAACAGTATATAACTTGAAGTAAACCAGAGATCTTTATGTACAGTGACTAATGTAACTTATGTACCATATCTAGGTTTAAGAATTTCACTTTGAATTACACTATTTATGTGACGACTAGTAATACTACCCGACTGTCTAAACAGCAGTAGATGGAGCAGAATTCGAATCTGAAACCAACTGATTGAATGCTAAGTGCTTCGACTACTAGATCATCTCTCTACATGTTGAATTACTGGATTCCATACAAGTCAATGTATTAAGACTATCAGCCAACTGACTATTTATATGGTTGAATGAATGAATGAATGAAGTTGATCCATACTCAATATATATATATATATATATATATATATATATAGAATTTTTTTTAACAAATTTATTTTTATGGTTGAACATTAGTTGATAAATAGTCAAAAGTATAGAGAAAAAATCCACAAACATTCAGTTAGGGGTCAATGATCATTAGGTAATAGGAAGAAATCTAACAATGCGAAATAAAAAGGTGATTAATATACAAAAAAAGTGCATTACGATAAAACATTAATGACATTGTTAGAAAATTGTTGACAGTCTTCTTCAGAGCTACAGTACTACAGTGAACATAGAAGTAGTGCACATTTTTTTTAGGACAAATAACATTGCTCTGAAAATCTGAGTTGGCGAAATTTCAGTCATACAAAAATGCTATTCTTGTTCGTTTTAAGTTGTTTAGTAGAACTTCGATTGGAATTTTGATACCCATCTTTAGAGGAATAAGTGATTCAAGTTTACGAAGAAGCCTAACAAAACGGCACAGTCTTTGCTATACACGTTGGATTACGTTCAAGAGTGTTATGATCGATGCAAATAGTGATAAATGCAAACTAATGTGGCTGCATGTGCTAGATTGTCATTTAGAAGTTTCCAATGGTAAAATACAATCCAATGATCTATAGTGTTGAATAGATATTGACGTATTTAAATAGAGAATATCCTCAGCAGTGTCCACTAAGAAATCAAGATTTCGAATACCGAAGAAACAATGCGAGTATTTATGTTCAGCTTGTGAAAAAGATATTACAATAAATGGATGGAGAATAACATAGACATGAAGACACAATGAGATCCTAATAACTGTTTTTTAAAGATAGTACAAACAAGCAAAATCAATAAAATATAGAGTAGTGAAAATAAAGAAATGATAAACTGTCAACAAGAAAATCGCTCAAAATATAAAAAAATAGCAGATTAAGACAGAACGAGGTGTGGAATGACAAAATTACCAATTAATTACAATCAATAAAACTAGTGTCAGGCATAGGAGATTAGATACATTTCTATATTTCTTTATAATACATACAATGTCAACAAAAACATTTAACATCAAACCAAGAATAAAATATGAGCAAGCTGTATGGGAACAGAATAAAAAACTAGACGTTAATATTTTTTTTTGGAATATTTTCATTCTCAAAAAAAAATCTTACCTTGATAAAAGAGTTTGACTACATAAGGCTTTATCGTTAAAATGTTTTGAAAGCTCTATACCTAGTTGAACTTGTGAAAGACCTAAATGTAGACGAAACTCTCGCAAGCGTTTAACAAAATGCTCCAGTTCAGTTAAATTATGTCCTTGAATGATAATTTCTTGACTTCCTGATGACGTCATACGATTCTTCATTTTGTTCAAGAGTTCACAAACTACAGAAAGACAAAGCATCCCATGAGGTATAAAAAAATGAGATATTTAAATGAATATTTGTCACTATGTGCATGTAGGTTGAAAAGATTATAAAAATGTTAGGATTAAGTAAATTGTTAGCCGATGCAGTTTTATGTTGGTTGAAGTTCCTTCCTAACAGTGATTTTATTGCAGTTTTTCCTTTTATAGGAATGTACAAAAATGTCATACTGGATCACTTGAGTTATCTGTCAACTTTCCCAGTAATTAATTTACAAAACAGAATTTATGGACTCTGTTGTCAAACAAGTCTAACCAAGAAGTGACCACAAGCACACTTTTATGCTTATGCACAATTAGTAAACATAGTAACAGAAGTCGTGAGCATTACTGTGAACTTGACCTCCTATCAACAGGAAAGAATGATATCAACTGTACAAGTAATAATATTTTAGTAAAAATTACAATAATTCAGTCATTTTAATTACAGATCATAGATTACTCAACTAAGTGAAAAATAACACCTTTTCATAGCAAAATAAACATTATATGAAAACCTTATGTGATTAAAATTGGAGTAATTCCAAAGTTTTATCCAGCAAGCTTGTCGGTACTCCCTCAGGACATCGGTCATCTTATTTATTTAAAAAACAGTGTAAACGAAAACTCTAGGTCGTCGAAATGTATGTAAAATGAGAAAAGTTGAACAAATAGTTGTGATAATAAACTTAAAGAACAATTTCTTTGTTGGAAACAAGGTAACAGCATTATAAACAGGATGGATAGTAATAATAATAAGGTCCAGTTATTTAGTTAAGCAGTTGCCAAAGCGCAGCTGATTGTATACCGTCTTTTCTGTTTAGGACCATATAATGTTATAACCGGTCGAGTACTGAAAAAGTCAGAACTTTAGGAACTATTTTCTGCAATATTATTGTTTTAAATCACTCAATAAATAAACCTTTATATTCTACGTATTATAAGCTTCTATCTGACCCACTAATCATCATCACACGTTTTATTAATCCTAGATTATTGCTAATCACTTATTTAGTTTTTCCGGTTCACAGCCACTTTTGGCTTGATCATGTTGAGATATGGTCTTCTATTTTATGGTATGACTTAGTCGAACTCGTCATGTGTATAAACCAATGAGTGCTTGAGATCACCGTTGGGCTAGTTCGTAGAAATATAACAACAGAGGCTCGGCTGCGAACCTCTTTTCTGGACTCAAGAGTGGAACAGATGTGTGTGTGTGGGCGAACCAAAAGTAGAGAAGTTCACGTTAGCTCAAGGTTAATAGTGTCGGTAAGGTCTCTGATCTATAGACAAATTAGTAGATATGGAGTAGGAAAGTTATAATCATAATTCTGATTGGCAAATTTAGCTAGTGGAATCAAGCAACGACGATGGGCTAATCAGAACAGCTTGAAGATGTAAGATTGAATACAATTAGCTGAGCTTTGGTAGCTGCTAAATTAACGAATATCTGATATGTCTTAGTAGTGGCCAGAGATTTCATTTATTCACTAAAAATTCTAACTATTAATGACATGAAAGCGCACACAAATGTAATCATTCCTTTTCACATTGTGAACATTTTTCTACTCTGACGACTTCTATAATCTTACTATATAAAAACTAACATCTAGATAGGATTGGATAAACTCTCAATGTAGACTTATTTCTAAACCGGACAAATTGTCTTATAATAATGATGATTACCCTGAAGATGTTCAGACAAGCTTGCTGTGTGAAATGTTAGAACAACTTAAATTTCAACCACTGAAATTATTTTAAATAAAATTTTTACATATAATAACTTCTATGTACTTGATTCACAATTTTTGTGAAATATTTCGGTCAAATATGTAACGATTATCCATATGAAATTATAAAGCAGTTTTAAAGACTTAAAAGGACTGAAATCTATATTCCGATGTAAAGATTTTACTATCGCTACTTGGAATTGGACATATCGCAGAATCCTTGCAACATGCAAACTTTATTCATTGAGTGGAAAATTTGGAAGTGCTTTGAGTAGTTTATACTGTGGTCACAATGTTTCATTACAGTTATGAGTTCGATTAGATTGTAAACTCATCATAAATTACCTTGTGAACAAGAAAATGAACCTAATTAATAATTACAGAAACGAGATAAACTCGTTTTCTAAAAGTCAACTATTAAAATTGAATAAATGCTTCTAAGACACTGAGATCTTCATCAATATCGGTTAGTTAACAGAATTCACTAACAACTGCCAATGAATGAAACTTGAAAGTTAGGTAATTAAACAAGTCAATTGTCAAGGTACTAACCAATTGAACAAAACATGGAACTAAATAGAAAAGGCCAACCCATAACAAACAATGCTGTTAAGTATGAAAGAGACAACGTTAGTTACCGATTTGTCCTAAAAATTTAGATCGTGAAATGCGAGACGAGGAATTTTTACTTTTATTCATATTAGCTGAACTGTTTTCACATTGTGGACGGGGAATGGTAGAATTAGCTGGATTTTCTAATTCTGGTACGTTCAAAGATGATGAATTAACTACTGTCTGTTGTGAACATGTTTGAACATGAGAAACATTTGTGCAATCCAAAGCTGAAGACTGTATATCTGTCTCAATACGTCCAAATTTACTAGGGAAGTTTAAATCCAATATATTTGAACAATCATTTACTGAGAATTGTGATATTACATTTTCTTGGTTTGAGAGACTTTTATCCAAAGATAGATTTGTTGGTAAATCGGATGAATCATGTGAAAATTTGATATGTGGAAGTTTTTTAAGTATGTAACTTCCATTGGAATGTTCAACGAAGAAGTTTGCCAAAATTAAATGACCTACATGGTTAAAATTGTTATATAGTAAAAAAATAGTTGACTGGAGATTCGATGGAATCGGTCAAAGAATATGTATTTATTGAAGTCATGATCCTAAAACAAAACGTTTATTTGAACGAGTTCATCATTAAAAACTAAACAGTTGTGTTAATATTAAGTAATATGAAGAACAATTTTGTTTGTTAGTACAAATGTGAGTAATAAGTTGAATCCCTATAGTGTAGTCCGTATTAGATATTATATCTTCAGAGAGAAACATTAGGGTTATGAATGGGGTATATTTACACAAAAAACATATGGGTGATCAGCAGTAGAAGTCTGATTCATTTTTTAGTTCACATAAAACAGGAAAGAAAAGGAACACCAGCACACTAGAGCTAGCTTTGTAGAAAATGGCCGCTTTCTATGGTTTATAGAAAGAAATATAAAGCGATTCAGGGGTTATCACGACAATATATAAACCTTGATGGAATAGATGAAATATATAAGTCGTATGGCTAGGTTACTACCACAAATATTCCGAACAGCTCCTTTGGGAATATCTTAAACTATATGCTTATTAGTAGATATATCCATAAAAGACAGACTATCAAAACTGAATGATTCAATGTGCATATATCTGTTTACCTGCTCTTATGAAGCTAGGTACATAAAGACAGCACCATATAGATGATCGGATCGTTGCTTCCTACCAAATTCTGAAGGAAAAAAACATACTGGTACCTTACAGTAATTACAAGAAAAATCAGTCACTGCTACTGTTCAATGAGTTATCAAGTTGTATCCACCACTGGAAGAAGAGCAACTTTTTGAGCAGTACAAATAATCCAACCAAGAAGAACTATCATACTCTTTTCAAAGAAGAAAAAGTTCAGGCCAGGAAATCGACAAAATTATTTGAAAAATATGCTACATTAAGTGTACTATCAGTGTAGAGTAAAACAACTGTTGTGCTGAGCTTTAAAAAGTGTATGAGATAGTTACTGGAGTAAAATTTGGCTGCACCAAATCTTAAAAGCTGAATTGTATTTTGATCGAAGTCAAAAAATCCATTATACACACTGTATGTTTCAGATTTCATATTATTAACAAATTGGTTCTAGACCCTCAGTCTGAAACATACTTTGCACCATAAAACCATAAGATAAATAAGCCAGAATTACAAGAATCTGTGACTGAAAAGGAGTCATTAGTCTAAACACATATTGGCATTAAGATGTTGCTTCATGAGTTTCGCAAACTGTTGTTTTACTCTTCTGAGTGTCTTTGGTCCCATTTTCATAAGTTCAAGTAAAAGGGAAGTTAACTAATAGAGAGGAGATACAGTTTACTTACAAAAATGCTGGTACACAAGCTTACTCTATGATGAACACTGATAAATACGCTAATAGCAATCGTTATTTGATGAAAGGTTAAATTGAAATCACGACAGAATACTGTACTCGAAAACTTAGGATCTTAAATGGATTGACCTTTAAGAATTCTATATGCCTATACTTTTATTTGGCAACTACGATATTCAGTCAAACAATATGCATTTCAGAAACTATTGTCCTTACATAACTATGCTCGTATCAATTTGTAGAATACTCAGATCTATGAGGCATATAATATAGTAAAGGGTAAAGTAACATCAGTCTCTGCTGCATTATATTGACTAAGGTTCCACCAGCACACATCTAACTAGAACAGTCATTAAATGAAGATTAAAACAGGCTGCAAACACTTACCTATTTCAGATATATAAAAGAGAATATCATTAGTCCCAGGGAAAGAAATAACTTCTGAAGAGAGGAAAACACAATTATAGGTTGTATTTGAGCCAGTTTCTTCGAAGGAAGTGTCATTCACACTTGAAAGATCCAAAGCCATAACTTTACGAAATGCAATTTTAAAGTATACCGACGAATAGTACTTATATACCTGCAAAGCAAAATTTAAAAAAAATATCGGGGCCTATAGTCACCGCGGATGTGTAATGAGTGTGAACAACCAAAAACTAGACCAAACGTAATGTAGGTGTTGTTGTATAGCATAAGACACTTAGATTCAACTATTTATCAACTCACTGTATCACTGGCTAAAAGCAACAGCGATTAAAATACTAAAAGTAATGGGACGATTGCAAGGTGCTACAAACTGATTTCGTGCCACAGGAAGAGGAATCACGAAACACTACAGCACATTGACAGAACCTATAAATGGTATGCATAAATGACTCCTAGCTATGAAAGTTAAAGTTTTACACTCAGTGATTTGAAAACAAACGGGTGAGTACTAAGCAGATCATGCCGTCCTATTCTTAAATTTGGCTTTATTCCGTTGCTATAGTGTGTCTACATGGGTTAATGCAGATTTGTGCCGCGTTGATTATGACTGACTTGCAAACCATTGAAAATAAAATTTCCAACCATATTTTATTTAAGTCATTTTTATCGACTGCAGCACGTACCAAATCATACCACAGGGAACCAGTGAGCAATGAGACAGGCAAGTATGCCAACTGACAAGATTACGAAGAAGATACATGCAAGGGACAAACGAAACGCATCCAACTGTTTCCATTTTTATGTAATTTCACTACTATTACAAAGGTGCAAGAGAAAATATCTATTGAGGTTGATAGGTATTTCATCTCTTATTGGACTCTGGAGAGAACCCTAAAATTGCGAGATTGTGAAGTTGATGATTTACAAACTTTTTGCCTTATGAGGGACATTTAGGTCAAATGTCTCACTATTTCCCCAACGTACGTGGGAAATGAGCTTTGGTTGCAATGCTCCCTAATTAACACTAATTATTTTGGCTACTGTTGTCTGTACAGGAAACATTGGGAAAATACATGTATTTCTTTCCAAAGTTCACTTTTATTTCACAAATCTTATTTAGTTGTGTCAAGAAATGGCTTTTTAATAAATGACACAATTGGGGAGGAAATTTTTAATATATCACAGTTTACTTTCAAGCTAATTTGAAGTAAAGCTCCACAGGTTTTGTATGTGTTACCAATGACTAGACATTCGAAGACAAATAGGCAACCTTGAAGGTTTTGAAAACTGCTCACTGTTGTACAGGCTCAAATGACTGCTAATGAAACAGCATAAAAATACACTCAAGGTTAAGGATGGCTGACGCAGACTAGTCGATTATGCCACATGGACTGGCTCATGTCGTAACACCATTACTGTGCAGTTCTTTAGTATGTTCTCGCAGATAAATGATTTTAGTTTGGCACTATCCTATTCGTTCTGGTTAGTCAGAAATCAGTTTCATTTTGGTAAGGATTAGAGGCTAGGTGGCCTGTGTTAATCCTAACAACAGTGGTCTCTCAGTTGATTTAATTTTGTTTTTAAGGCGTTGACAGATGGAGCTTTAACCACATGTTGAGGTAATGAATTCCACAAGTTGATGATTCGATGGGAACGTCGATAGTCAGCCAACAAGTAATTTGTTCTGTGCCTGTGAACCACTTTACAGTGTCCTCGTAAATTCTCTGTTTTGTAAGACAATAAAAATGAGGGAATGTAAGGTGCGAATTCGTCACTAAGTAATTTGAAAACTGTTATCAACTCACCTCTAGTGTTTTGATATGACAGTGGGATTAGGTTTAGCTTAGCCAGTTTATCATCATTCACGGGCTTTGCCGTCCTACGAATCAGATTAGTTGGGATTCTTTAGACCCTATCTAACCGCTCTGTCTCTTTTTACACGGGGACTGGCCTCTTGCGTGCAGTACTAGAGTTTGGGACTCACGAACACTGTAAATATCCAGAACTATCGACTCTATCGCTCTGACAGTGAAACTAAGCGGGGAAGTGGTTGTATTATATATGCTTTGGATACCCTAACAACTAATAAAGTTGAAGATAGTGTCCTGAATAGTTTACCAGAATCTGTCGGGATATCAGTCGACTCCCTTAATCATAGTCTACTCCTTGGATGTATATACAGAGCTCCTGATGGTTCGAATAATGGGAATGATCTTATTATCAATGCATTCATACATGCATCTGCTCTTAACTTTAATGCTAAGGTTATCACTGGGGGTGTCAATTATCCTGCGATTAACTGGAGTGCAGTTAGTTGTCAGTCATGTAATGATGAGTTCTCGGCAACCATTAACATGCACTGCTGGTCACAGTGGGTTCGTACCCCAACTAGAGGCGATAGTATATTAAGTGGAGATGTTATTCCACTATCTGTAAAAGTACTTGATGAAGTTGAAAGCAGTGACGATAAGATAGTAGTCTGCAGTCTCCCTATCTATCCGTCTTATAGCCGAACCATTCAAAAAGCCTGTCAATATAGAGAATATAAGCATGCTGACTGGGACCTCTCCATTTCAATAAACGCGCTAAAGCAACTCAAAATGTTGGTATACCATGCAACCAGCATAATAGCACTTTTATATACGATTCTAAAACTATAGCAGACCTTTTCAATGGTATTTTTGCGAATGGTGTAGAAAACATAAGTGGCTATGCTTCAAGAGTTATGTGCGTGACTAGCAACTCAATAAAATATACCTCCTCCATATGCATAAAAATTAATAAGGCTATAAATACCCTTAGGCTTTCGAGAGGTCATAGAGCAGACGGCATTTCATCCTTTCTCTACAAATATGGTAGCCCAGATATTCCACTTCTTCTTCTAAAGCTGTTTATTCTCTCTATGGAAAATGGTTCGTACCCTTACGGTTGGAAAACCGCGTAGATCATATCACGTTACAAATTTTGAGATAAGACTGACATTAACAATTATTGGCAGACAAATATTACTCCAGTTATCTCTAGGATTATGGAAAAAATTATAAGTGATGAGCTTTCCAACTACTTACTCGCTGGAAAATTCATCAGTGATACTCAACATGGATTTCTTAAAAATCGATCTTGCATGACATGCCATTTTGACTTCTTTAATTTGGTCTATTCTCTACGTAACCAAGGATATCTAGTCTTAGTGCTATATCTGGACATTTCTAAAGCCTTTTACGTGGTTAGCCACCAACTTCTTATAGTAAACTCGCATCTTACGAGGTTCAAATCATTTGCTAGCTTGGTTTGAGTCCTTTCTCAGCAATCTACATCAAATAGTTAAAATTAACTCTTCATTGTCTAACGCTGTCCCTGTTAGAAGTCGTGTAATACCAGGTAGTGTCTTAGGTCCTTTGCTCTTTTTAGTGTTTATCAATGATATTTGTGAAAGCTTTTGTGTCGGTAAGCCGCTTCTATATGCAGATGATCTCAAAGTAGCATATTCATTTTCTCCAAATGAGCTGAACAGTATGCGAAATTGCGTCAGCATGGAGCTTAACAAGATAGTACAGTGGTGCTTAAAATGGCAACTGGAGCTTAATACGGCTAAATGTGGATGGATATGCTTTGGTGATACATCACTCAACCTAGACATTACCATAAATGGCGAAGTGTTATCTAGGTTACATACAGTAGTGGACTTAGGACTTAGATATTCCCAAGACTTGTCGTTTACAGAACATATATTAAAACAGACCTCTAAGTCTCAATGTCTAATAGGTTACATAACTCGAAACTTTTATAACAATGAGTCACGTATTCTAATGCATAAAGTTTGTGCTCGACCTCTTCCAGAATATTGCCCGTTTATTCTTAGCAGTGCGCGCATAAAGGATAAATTAAGGCTGGAATCAGTACGGAGACGATTTACACTTCGTATTCTTGGAGCTGATTGTACCTTAACTTTTAATTCTAGATGTAATAAACTTGGGCTAAACGCTTTATGGAAGAGCAGACTCGAACCAAATCTTATCTTTTTCTTCAAACTACTTAATAAAATATCCTTTACATCCAACCACGTGATTCAATATGCATAAGCTTCTTATTATGACATCCATAATTCCTTGTCACTAGTGAAACAAAATTATCCTAAATCATGTCTTTATACGGATTACTTTACCTGTAAATTTTCTAGACTCTGAAATAACTTACCACAATCTATCCGTACGATAAAATCACTCCCATTATTTGTTCGCTGCATCGATGCATACTGCTCCTCTGATAACGCACTGAATGTTCTAGCACCTGTAACTGTATCTCATCCCATAAGTGATATTATAGGAACTTTAAATGTTTAGCCATCTTTATTAGTGCATTCCCTAAGTAAAACCACCTACTTGCTGTCACTTTATGTTAACACCGTCCCCAGCAAGTCTAACTAATTTGAATAACATCACCAGTATATCACTGTGTCACATGACACCCGCATTTTGGTAGACCTGATTGATATATTTTGGTAATTACTTCTTTGTTGTTCCGTGCTCTCTGTTTTCGTTTTAATTTCTCTAGTTGTAGATAATTATCAGTAATTCGATATGGCACACAAAATGACCTTAATTACACCGTTCATCAATCAACAGGCTGTCCATTTAAGAAAAATTAAACGTTCCCGGCTGACGCATTGGATCGCTGCAATACATGTACTTTTAGCGGCCCGTGGATCTGACTCCTATTTAGATCGTATAAATGATTGTTATCGCCTTTTCTCGTATATCATCGTTGACTTAAATCACGTTAGTCAATAACGGAATTTAGATAAGTCAAATAACGAGAATGGGATTAGAAGGGCACACACATATACGCTCATATAAAAAGTCTAGATTGATAAGCGAATAATTGACATGGTCAAAATATGACTCAAGTAGAATGAATAGAATGGTTTGTCCAAAAACTAGAATAAGATATATGGGCTTAAAATAATGACTGACACTACATACTACCTAGACAATTACTTAACTAGTATACTTAAAACTTTCTTCTATCACATGTTTGTTATGTACATTTAATGCTGCTATTTACATGAAATTGATCATGCCTGTAAACTGACGTGAGTTCTGAAATTATTATTTTCAGAACATATATATTGTTATACAAAGTCAAAAAGGTTTTAGCATCAGTATGGGTAAGAAATGCAGGCTGGTTACAATAATGGAGTCTACTGCGTTGGATTTCAACCATAATGTGCGGTTTTTAAGTGAGCTTGGTGGTCATAATATTCTCGTATCACTCGAATATACTTCAATATCCACACTGGTGATTTACTTGGGTTTAGGTCTCGTGATAGCATTCTTGGTAGTGAAAAGATATAATCTATAATGTTCCCTTTGAAGCTGAAGGTCAAGGCGTTATTTCGTAGTGAAAGAGTTTTTGAACCACCTGTACGGTGGAGTAAACTCTCAACGCTGTTACGTTTTCAGACGTACTATACATAATTTGTCGGAATGCTCGTTTTTAGGGTATTATTTACCAGAACTATCACGTAATTACTGGAACTGGTACATATAATTCAAGAAAGACATACCTTGTTGACTACTTCTCAAATAATGCGCACCTTTCGAGCATAACATTTTTCACAACTTGATTTAGGTTGCTTTCTGTTTATAACTTTGTGGTGATTTTACGAACTCATGATTCTTTTGTACTTTTTGCCTGTCTGATTTCGTATACCACACAAGATACGTTTATTTGTGCTCATCTAGTTCGTTCGTTCCGTGATTCCTAGTTCGTATAGTTATTCATATACTACTAACCATCACATTGGCGTCTCGATGGAGTCTGTGATGGAACAGTTATATATACACTAAGATTTTGATGCTTATGAATATTACATGGAAAGGTTCGAGATCTGGACTACGTTGAGGATGTTAATATTGTGGCTCATTTCCTCACATTCACCGGGTAAGAAGCACACAGCCTAACCAAGACCTTGGGATTTCCAGACAAGCTGATTTCACTTTCATTTCCAACTCTCAAGCAATTACTACTAGATTATGTAAAATGCTCAAATTTCGAAAGTGGTAAAGGAGAAAAATTTCAAAAAATGATTCATCGTGACGTCAAGAACTCCAGTACATTACTACGTTATTCAAATCCAATGCTTACTCAAGGACATTCAAATCACAATCCATTGAGAAGTAGCAAAGCAGATCACGAAGAAGGGCACAAGTTTGGTAAATATCTGTTCTGTGGCAAATTTCATTCATGTAATTCATGTGTATTTCGTAATGCTAAATGCTTTGAATGTGTTATGACTGGACACATCTAG